TGTCTCAAAACAAGGTTGCTACGAACACACTTCCATCCAACTCCGGCACCACCTGCAGCTTGATCCTGGGCCGGGATATGCTTTTTCCCAACTCAGGTCTCGGTGATCTTCGGCCAGCAGTGACGGGGCACTGGGCTCAGTAGAGCGGCGCGGAGCTCGCGTGGGCAGCAGTTTTCGGAAGTTTAAAGTTTATGAACTTACACTTAAGGATTTGCCTCGGGACACCCAAGGCCCCAAAAGCTGTAGTCTCGTTCCCTCGATTGCTGGACCACGAAGCGAGATCTGGGCCTCAAAACTCTCTTCTCTTGCAGCAATAAAGGGAGTTCTAAAAAGAAACAAGGCAGCCTGTGGTAGGATCCCTGCTCTACGGACACTCCCATCGCCTCCGACGCTCCTAACTAAGGAGGGTAGCGAGGGCATCTTGGGCCGACATCCCATTGGATGTCCACGTGCGTCTGCATCTGGCGTCGCGGACGCTGTCACTGAACATGTGGCGATGCAGGAGCCTGCACGTGTGCCCTGAAAGCTGCATAAGATATACCGTCTACCGGAACACAGCCTATGGGGTGGAACGCGGCGGAACAGTCTGGTGCAATTCCCTGGAGGTTCTTCCAGCAAACTGAAAGGCCCCCATCATGGAATGACCAGCTCCATTGAAAGACGTTTTTCGAAGACTTCTGGCTCCTCTGGAGTGTAAAGCAGATGCTTGCGTCACATTACGTCCATCATTTCATTCAGACAACTCCATGTAGAGCCATGAAATGAACACTAGCCAGCTGCCGAGTGGTGGTCTGACAGCCGCCCCTCTTGCGAACCAAGCTAGCTGCCGAGTGGTGATTTTGCAACCGTCCGTCTTGCGAACCAAGCTAGTTGCCGAGTCGATGAACTTGGGGGCTCTGCTCAAATACAATCAACTTGTCCACACAGCAATTAAGAGTCTATGTGAGGGACTATATTCAAACTTCAAACTTAACATCACTGTGCACCCGTCGAGAAAAAGCAGAAGGCACTTTCCAATACATCACCTGTCTTCTGCTTCACTGCAGCCAGGGGCCGCCGTGCTTACTTCTTCCGCCAGATGGTAGCTTCTGACACGATGTACTGGTACTTCCGCTGGTGCTCGCGGATGAGGAGCGGCACCTGCTGCTCTCCGATTTTCACGAAGCCGCGCTCTTTCATGAGCTTCTGAAGTTGATCCTTTGACCGCACCTGCGTCTGCGTGATCGGATCCATGAAGCCGCCAAGCCATTTTTGCTTGGGGGTGAAGTCCTCAAGCCAGGAGAAAGGCGTGAGGATGACCGCTGCAGCCCCCGGGCGAAGAAGAACACCGAGCCCATCCAAGCATGCTACTGGATCTGGGAGCCGACAGAGCAGATTGGCCAGCAAGGCACCATCGAACTGGCCTAGCTCTGCAACCTCGTCCTTCAACCTGCAGGCGTCGCCCGTGCGGAAAGTCACCCGCTGTCGCACTTCCACGTCCACGTTGGCTTCGTGTGCCGCTGTGATTTCGGTCTCCAGCTGTCCTTCTATGGGCAGCTTGAAGCGAACCTCCTCGCCAGCCTTCATCTTGTTGGCTGCATTGATGAAGGCACTGCTGAAGTCGACGCCCAAAACCTCGCTGAAGCCACTGGCTGCCAGTTCGAAGGAGGATCCACCCACTGCACAGCCAATGTCTAATGCCCGGAGGTTGCCTCCTCTTCCAGTCACTGCGGCCTCGGCGAGCATTTTGGCAACGCGCTGCGGGAAGCGCAGCGCATGCTCCGGAGCAAACGGGTGACCCAGGATCGGGTCAACATAGCCAAGTCCCGAGGCTGGGAAGTGGAGCCCGAGGTACTGGTCCACCAGACGTTGCGTCTCATAGCCCCCGGAGCCGGCGACCGCTGCTCCGGTCCCGGCCGCGGCGGCCAAGGAGGCTGGAGGAGCCTGCTCCTGCTCGGTGTCGGCGCCCTGCGTGAAGGGAGCATCCAGTCTCGTGGCCGGGGGAGGCGACGACGACGAAACCAGCCGGAAGCCAGAGTGCTGAAGGAAATGAGGCCGGAAGTGATATCGACAGAACCCGGAGGCACCATTGTCGGACTTACTAACGAAGCTTCCGCCCATGATCAGGTGATGTCGTCCATCGAAGCACGGCGTAGAGAAGTCCTCGTAGGTATAATGGACCTTGAAGCCATCCAGAGGATTGAAATGGTCCTCTGTCCACTCCCAAGCATTGCCCATGGCGTCGTGGTGGCCGCTGGGGGATGCCGGAAGTGCATCGACCGGAGACTGTGAAGCATAGGCCAGGTTGGCGTTTGCTGCCTCTAAGCCGCCGGACGCGTACTCTGCGCCACCTGCATGCATCGCCCGATCGTAGGCGCTGGAGGCCATGTTCTCAGGACGTGCTTCGGGATGGCGAATCAGGTGGTGCTCGGCCTCTGTGATCACTCGGTAGGCCTCCGGGCTGCCAGCCAGCCCGTCCTGCTCCGACTTCCATGCGCAGTATGCCCGAGCCTCATGGTAGTTGACATCAACAGGCCAACTCCAGACCATATCAATCTCCTCGAAAATGGTCCGCAGCTTGAACATCATCGATCCCTGTGGCCCATCTTGGACCCAGAAGAAAGGCCACTTCATGTTCCGGTATTTGCGCCAGTTCCATCCGTCCTCTGACCAGTACTTCTCAGTACGGTAGCCGCCGGACGTCACGAAGTGCCAGAACTCACCATTCGTGATCATGTACTTGCTGGCCTTGAAGTCGGGCACTTGCACGCTGCGATGGCCATACTCGTTGTCCCAGCCGTAGCTGGGAAAGTCCCGCGGCTTTCCCAGCTTCACTGTCTCGCCGCTCACACTCAGCATCTCATTCTCTGGAAAGTCCTGACCCACCTCCGGCCGAAGGCTTCGGGCCGTCGTCTGGAGACTCGATGGGTGCAGCCCAGGCCAGGATGCCGGGACCTGCATCAGGTGGCTGGGCGTCTCCCGGAAGAGTACAGAGCTGGTTTCGAGGTGGATGGCTTCGTGCTCCGCGCCCATGAAGATGGCCCACAAAGGGTGATCCCAGGTAATCTTTGCCGGCGTAGTGCCGTTATTGTCCTCGAGATCGGGATGGGTCGCAATGATCTCACTCAAGATTTTGTAGACCTTCTTCCGGTACTCTTGGACCTCCCTCACCGTCGGCCATACCATGTCATTCTTGTGCATGTCATCCCAAAGCATCTCGTCGACTCCAACCTCCATGATCGACTCCATGTACGGGTCCACTGCATCCTTCAGCACTCCGGCCACCCGCAGCTTATTGATGTACACGCAGGGAGTGTGTCCGTAGTAAAAGATTTGCGGATGCCGCAAGCCATGCACCGGAGGACGGTAGAAGGGCTCCTCGCCATGGAAGCCAGCGAAAAGCACCTCGACCAACGTCCAGGAGTTGTCGAAGTACTCCTGCACTTGCTTTCGGGTAACCTTGTTCAGATTGGGCATGGGCAATGCCCGAATGGCCCCATCCGGCGACACTCCGGGGCATAGCCCTGGCAAAGGCGGCTGGCCGGTGTACCAGGAGAGGTCGCGAGGACCGGCCAGCCACACGTCTTCGCCACGCAGGTTGACCATCCAGTCTTCCCAGTTGCTCCGCGAAGCTCCAGTCTTGCCTGGGTCCTCGAAGACCTGGGGTGGCTGCAACGTCGGAATGGCCTGGTGCGTTGTGGCCAACGTGGCTTTGGGTCTTGAAGCCGCGATCAGCCCACGGACTGCTTTTGCAGCGCTGCGGCGGCTGAGCCTCTGCAAAGTCCGCTCCCCCAAGCGCAACATGATTCGTACTTTATGTCAGAGCTGTTCCCAAGTTCACTTCCACTTGCCTACCAAATGGCTTGAGCCATGGCAAGTAGCGGTAGCCAGTTATTGCATCAGCGGGCACATGTGCTGCTAAACGAGTTAACACACAAATTAAACGACATGATGGGCAGTGTCTCAAAACAAGGTTGCTACGAACACACTTCCATCCAACTCCGGCACCACCTGCAGCTTGATCCTGGGCCGGGATATGCTTTTTCCCAACTCAGGTCTCGGTGATCTTCGGCCAGCAGTGACGGGGCACTGGGCTCAGTAGAGCGGCGCGGAGCTCGCGTGGGCAGCAGTTTTCGGAAGTTTAAAGTTTATGAACTTACACTTAAGGATTTGCCTCGGGACACCCAAGGCCCCAAAAGCTGTAGTCTCGTTCCCTCGATTGCTGGACCACGAAGCGAGATCTGGGCCTCAAAACTCTCTTCTCTTGCAGCAATAAAGGGAGTTCTAAAAAGAAACAAGGCAGCCTGTGGTAGGATCCCTGCTCTACGGACACTCCCATCGCCTCCGACGCTCCTAACTAAGGAGGGTAGCGAGGGCATCTTGGGCCGACATCCCATTGGATGTCCACGTGCGTCTGCATCTGGCGTCGCGGACGCTGTCACTGAACATGTGGCGATGCAGGAGCCTGCACGTGTGCCCTGAAAGCTGCATAAGATATACCGTCTACCGGAACACAGCCTATGGGGTGGAACGCGGCGGAACAGTCTGGTGCAATTCCCTGGAGGTTCTTCCAGCAAACTGAAAGGCCCCCATCATGGAATGACCAGCTCCATTGAAAGACGTTTTTCGAAGACTTCTGGCTCCTCTGGAGTGTAAAGCAGATGCTTGCGTCACATTACGTCCATCATTTCATTCAGACAACTCCATGTAGAGCCATGAAATGAACACTAGCCAGCTGCCGAGTGGTGGTCTGACAGCCGCCCGTCTTGCGAACCAAGCTAGCTGCCGAGTGGTGATTTTGCAACCGTCCGTCTTGCGAACCAAGCTAGTTGCCGAGTCGATGAACTTGGGGGCTCTGCTCAAATACAAACAACTTGTCCACACAGCAATTAAGAGTCTATGTGAGAGACTATATTCAAACTTCAAACTAAACATCACTGTGCACCCGTCGAGAAAAAGCAGAAGGCACTTTCCAATACATCACCTGTCTTCTGCTTCACTGCAGCCAGGGGCCGCCGTGCTTACTTCTTCCGCCAGATGGTAGCTTCTGACACGATGTACTGGTACTTCCGCTGGTGCTCGCGGATGAGGAGCGGCACCTGCTGCTCTCCGATTTTCACGAAGCCGCGCTCTTTCATGAGCTTCTGAAGTTGATCCTTTGACCGCACCTGCGTCTGCGTGATCGGATCCATGAAGCCGCCAAGCCATTTTTGCTTGGGGGTGAAGTCCTCAAGCCAGGAGAAAGGCGTGAGGATGACCGCTGCAGCCCCCGGGCGAAGAAGAACACCGAGCCCATCCAAGCATGCTACTGGATCTGGGAGCCGACAGAGCAGATTGGCCAGCAAGGCACCATCGAACTGGCCTAGCTCCGCAACCTCGTCCTTCAACCTGCAGGCGTCGCCCGTGCGGAAAGTCACCCGCTTCCGCTCTTCCACGTCCACGTTGGCTTCGTGTGCCGCTGTGATTTCGGTCTCCAGCTGTCCTTCTATGGGCAGCTTGAAGCGAACCTCCTCGCCAGCCTTCATCTTGTTGGCTGCATTGATGAAGGCACTGCTGAAGTCGACGCCCAAAACCTCGCTGAAGCCACTGGCTGCCAGTTCGAAGGAGGATCCACCCACTGCACAGCCAATGTCTAATGCCCGGAGGTTGCCTCCTCTTCCAGTCACTGCGGCCTCGGCGAGCATCTTGGCAACGCGCTGCGGGAAGCGCAGCGCATGCTCCGGAGCAAACGGGTGACCCAGGATCGGGTCAACATAGCCAAGTCCCGAGGCTGGGAAGTGGAGCCCGAGGTACTGGTCCACCAGACGTTGCGTCTCATAGCCCCCAGAGCCGGCGACCACTGCTCCGGTCCCGGCCGCGGCGGCCAAGGAGGCTGGAGGAGCCTGCTCCTGCTCGATGTCGGCGCCCTGCGTGAAGGGAGCATCCAGTCTCGTGGCCGGGGGAGGCGACGACGACGAAACCAGCCGGAAGCCAGAGTGCTGAAGGAAATGAGGCCGGAAGTGATATCGACAGAACCCGGAGGCGCCATTGTCGGACTTACTAACGAAGCTTCCGCCCATGATCAGGTGATGGCGTCCATCGAAGCACGGCGTGGAGAAGTCCTCGTAGGTATAATGGACCTTGAAGCCATCCAGTGGATTGAAATGGTCCTCTGTCCACTCCCAAGCATTACCCATGGCGTCGTGGTGACCGCTGGGGGATGCCGGAAGTGCATCGACCGGAGACTGTGAAGCATAGGCCAGGTTGGCGTTTGCTGCCTCTAAGCCGCCGGACGCGTACTCTGCGCCACCTGCATGCATCGCCCGATCGTAGGCGCTGGAGGCCATGTTCTCAGGACGTGCTTCGGGATGGCGAATCAGGTGGTGCTCGGCCTCTGTGATCACTCGGTAGGCCTCCGGGCTGCCAGCCAGCCCGTCCTGCTCCGACTTCCATGCGCAGTATGCCCGAGCCTCATGGTAGTTGACATCAACAGGCCAACTCCAGACCATATCAATCTCCTCGAAAATGGTCCGCAGCTTGAACATCATCGATCCCTGTGGCCCATCTTGGACCCAGAAGAAAGGCCACTTCATGTTCCGGTATTTGCGCCAGTTCCATCCGTCCTCTGACCAGTACTTCTCAGTACGGTAGCCGCCGGACATCACGAAGTGCCAGAACTCACCATTCGTGATCATGTACTTGCTGGCCTTGAAGTCGGGCACTTGCACGCTGCGATGGCCATACTCGTTGTCCCAGCCGTAGCTGGGAAAGTCCCGCGGCTTTCCCAGCTTCACTGTCTCGCCGCTCACACTCAGCATCTTATTCTCTGGAAAGTCCTGACCCACCTCCGGCCGAAGGCTTCGGGCCTTCGTCTGGAGACTCGATGGGTGCAGCCCAGGCCAGGATGCCGGGACCTGCATCAGGTGGCTGGGCGTCTCCCGGAAGAGTACAGAGCTGGTTTCGAGGTGGATGGCTTCGTGCTCCGCGCCCATGAAGATGGCCCACAAAGGGTGATCCCAGGTAATCTTTGCCGGCGTAGTGCCGTTATTGTCCTCGAGATCGGGATGGGTCGCAATGATCTCACTCAAGATTTTGTAGACCTTCTTCCGGTACTCTTGGACCTCCCTCACCGTCGGCCAGACCATGTCATTCTTGTGCATGTCATCCCAAAGCATCTCGTCGACTCCAACCTCCATGATCGACTCCATGTACGGGTCCACTGCATCCTTCAGCACTCCGGCCACCCGCAGCTTATTGATGTACACGCAGGGAGTGTGTCCGTAGTAAAAGATTTGCGGATGCCGCAAGCCATGCACCGGAGGACGGTAGAAGGGCTCCTCGCCATGGAAGCCAGCGAAAAGCACCTCGACCAACGTCCAGGAGTTGTCGAAGTACTCCTGCACTTGCTTTCGGGTAACCTTGTTCAGATTGGGCATGGGCAATGCCCGAATGGCCCCATCCGGCGACACTCCGGGGCATAGCCCTGGCAAAGGCGGCTGGCCGGTGTACCAGGAGAGGTCGCGAGGACCGGCAAGCCACACGTCTTCGCCACGCAGGTTGACCATCCAGTCTTCCCAGTTGCTCCGCGAAGCTCCAGTCTTGCCTGGGTCCTCGAAGACCTGGGGTGGCTGCAACGTCGGAATGGCCTGGTGCGTTGTGGCCAACGTGGCTTTGGGTCTTGAAGCCACGATCAGCCCACGGACTGCTTTTGCGGCGCTGCGGCGGCTGAGCCTCTGCAAAGTCCGCTCCCCCAAGCGCAACATGATTCGTACTTTATGTCAGAGCTGTTCCAAAGTTCACTTCCACTTGCCTACCAAATGGCTTGAGCCATGGCGATTAGCGGTAGCCAATCATTACATCAGCGGGCACGTGTGCTCGCACCAATGGATGCATGGACGTAATCCCATCTGCGGGCATGTGCTCGTGACAATCCAGCCGTGTCTGCCAAACTCTGCCAATCGAACGGCACAATCAACTTCAAGGCCGTGCTGCGTTGGAGCACGGGGTGCCGAGCGCTGGCTTCGCCGCGAGCTTCGTCCTGCATGAAAGGGACGTGGCTACTGAGGACGCGAAGCACACCCAGCAGGGTCGCACAAATGCATTCGTCGTGATAGCCGATACTTTGGTGGACGCGCACGAACTTAATTCATTGATGAATCGCTCCCCCACCATGGAGCAGTGTCTGGGTTCTTTTCCAAATTCCAGCACATGATACACGTCTCACAGCAACGACTCTTTCCTTTCCACTAATCATGACTCGATAGATTTTTGATTTGAGCTACGCCAAAACCCCGAATTGGCGGGTCAAACGAAAGCTTGAGGCCGAGACCTGGAGCGAGACATGGCACGCGAGATGAAATTTTTGTTCACCTGGCCTGCCCACCGTGAAACTCGGCAATTACACGGTTTCCGCTTCCCGACATTGTGCTCGTTTTGGTTGTGCTCCCGTCTACAATTCCAAAAATCGTGCTCCTGCCACACCGTAATCACCACAATATCGGAGTGCGACCCGTGTTCCCGCCCAGTGTGGTGCTTGTTCTGGGGTGCCAATAGTGCTCCTGCCAGTGCCAGTGCAGCGCAAAGCTCATCGTGCTTCCAAGACGGCTCTTGGGTATGTAGGGCGTGGACTGCTAGGTGCTTTTTCACTACTGCTACGAGGACGACCTGCTGCTGCTGCTCCTCATTGCCGTCCTAATAGAACAAGACATTTACTGCTGCTACAACCACCACTACTACAACATGAGCACTGCATGAATTTGTATGAGAACAATAATCCGCCGACCCCGCTGTTGGGTCGAGCGCCGGGGAAGCCCTTTCATGGCAAGTAGCCCCAGAACCCTCGTAAGCTCTGCACCTCAAAACCCTGTCCATCTTAGGCAGGGGAACACTGCCAAACATATCACAGCCGGAGACTGGCTGGTAAGCATGCCAGGCAGAGCAGTGGAAACAATAAATCCCGTGATCCCTGCAAAGCCCGACCAAGTCGGCCCCCGGCTTCTGCCCCTTACCCTCCGCGCTCCACACACAGGCTCATAAATCCCGTGATCCCTGCGAATCCCGACCAAGTCGGCCCCGGCTTCTGCCCCCTACCCTCCGCATCCTCACCCCGCACAAACTTCTGCCCCTTGCTCCTACCCTTTACCCCGCCAACCGAAGCCCGTGTCATCCCGTGTCTGTTCACCAAACCCCCTGCCCCCCGCAAGCCGAAGCCCCCGTCGGTTCCACCAACCCCCCGGTGATTTTGTCTCGGGCATGAGTTTCATGCTCATGTTCCCGCGCAAACGCGGCTGCGCGAATTTTGTTGACGTGATGCTTGATGTCGCTCGTGGCGAAGATGGCCGGCGCCAACGCAAACTCGTGTTTGCACCGCACGTCCTGCGGCCCACTGCTGACCAAACGGCGGCTTGCGCGTTCGAGGCAGCAGATCTTGCACTCCAGCGTCATTATCTCCGTCGGCTTGTGGGCACGCCGAAGAGCCCGGCACGCTGGATTCCCACACAGGACATCCCCGCGGCACCAACTGCCTGGAACGAAGCCCTAACTAGAGCAGGTGGGGGGCCTTTCCCAAGTGAACCGCGCCTTCTCGACTCACAAAACAATGTCATAACTAACAGATCTTGTTTTCCCCAAGTGAACGCTGCGCTGGAGACATACTTGCCATGTGCGGCTACTGTGCAAAACCCTGGCGGGAAGTCATAACAATCCAGTCTCCTGCCGCCCCCCTTTGCGGGGTCGGCGGAAGCGGCGTCAGCCCTTAAATAGATAATTAAGTGGAGAGAGTACTGCCGAAGTAATGCGCATCATAACAGGTGCAAGCGGCGGCCAGGAAGCACCCACACCGCTCGCACCCGCCCCCCCCCACCGTGAACTCCGCCTCCTCGCCGCTCACACCGTTCGCACCACCAACAACGAGCTGCTTCCGTTAAATGATGGCGATGACGACAGCACCCACCGCAATCATATCATGCCAGCCTAGCGTAGTGAAAAGAGTAAGTCTAAGTACAAGTAGTACATAGCAGCAGCAACAACAACAACACCACCAAATGATGGCGATGACGACAGCACCCACCGCAATCATATCATGCCAGCCTAGCGTAGTGAAAAGAGTAAGTCTAAGTACAAGTAGTACATAGCAGCAGCAACAACAACAACACCACCAGCAGCCATGGTGCAGTGCTGGTGGTGGCCATGCTCATCATTACATGTTTCATCATCTTGGAACCACTGATGCGAATCATCGGTCCTCCTCTTGAGGGAACCGACTCTGGCGGCGCCACCCCAAGTCCGTTGATGTGAAAGTGGTCCTGCAGGGCTTTTGATCGGGGCGCGCTCCTTTTTATCTTGGCATTCAGCAACGCATGAAGGTGCGAGCTTCGCCACCTGCGGGCTGTTCGCCGAACTGTCCATGTAGTAGGGGTCGCCTTCGGCGGCATCTGAAAGTCCCAACGAGAGCAAAGCGTCAGGAGCGGCTCTGCCTAGACTCGAATGCGCCCAGCCTGCACTGGAGATGCCCGCAGGTGCCCTCCAAATGGCGATGTGTAAAAGCATGAACATCACCAAGCATGTGTCGCTTAGATTTGTCGTGGTCAAAAACCCAAAGCTTTTCTCATGGTGCCTCGGCCCTGGCGTCGCCAAGCGCGCTTGCAGCTCTGCTAGAGAGCTGCACACGAAGCTTTGCGTGATCGAACCTGGGGTCCACGGACGCAAAGCCGAAATGTCACGGAGACATGACCTACGATGTGCAGCTGGGGTGCGCAAGGACCGCACGTCGCGTATCAGTTCTTCTGCCTGAGTGCGACAAGTACTGTTGTCTCAACCCCTTTCCATCCTGTCCTGATAGCCTGTAGTCTAGTCACTAGTCACTAGTCTGAAGTAGAGCTAACAACTCCACAGCCAGCTTGTACCAGGCTACCCAGGCAGGAGCAGGCTCATGTTGAGGGAGACCTGTCAGCACGTACGAGCAACAAACTTATTTCTCCCGTCCCAAAAGGAGTGTGGCTGCTGTAGCACAACTGGGAACCTTTGATTTTCGGGTTGGAAGCAGTCGCCGAACGCGCTGCAAGCGGAAGCTCTACATGATGATGTCTGCACTGGAGTCTGCACCTGCCTGGATCATCAGCAGAACCTGCCGAAAAAGGCTGCAACGAGCACAAGCTGCTCAGCACGGGTCGAAGCTCGGAAACGCACTAGCTTATCGGAGAAAAAAGCTGGCAAAGTAGGCAACTCCGCCCTGAGGGTATGCTCATTGAGAGAATCACTACTACTCAGGGCAGGAAGCTACCTGCGTGAGCACCTGTCGCATTGGCAAAACGAAGTCTCAGAGAAAGTCATGCCTTGCAAAATTTTCGACTTTCGAGAGCTCTGGCAGCTTTCAAGGACAACTGTTCCACTCAACCAACAGGACATGGCTCAGCCTCTGTCGATCCCCGAAACCGGACCGCCTCGACCCCAGGTGTCCGGCACAAGCTTCCGGGCCAGCTCTGTGGCCTGCCGGGCACGGGCCATCGGGCCACAACACCTAAATGGGGGCACCTACACGAAACATGAAATGCAAGGCTGGGGTGTTGCTGCTGTCGTGCGTCTTCTCTGGGGGAAACGCAGAGTTGAGAAAGCCATCGCGGCGAGGACCAGCCAGAAAGCGTGAGCCGAGCCTTCGCTGTTATGGAAGCTCCTCAGGTGCACAGGCCCGAATCCCGGAAGGAATGATATCAAGGCCTGCATCACATCCAGACTCCAGATACTCGAAAATTCCACCTGATTCACCTAGCCATGGACATCCGCTTCGTGGCTGCGGTGTTGTGAAGAGCCTCTGAGGTTCAGAAGCCTCTCAGCGCATGTAGAAGCTATAGCAGCGGCTGAAGCTAATGCCTGCTTAGGCTCTTTTCTTTTTCGGCGTGGGCGTAGACGGCGAAGAGGACCCACCTGTCCACAGCGCAGCCAACGAAGTGTCTATGCATTCGGAAACTCATCAGCATCGAAAAGCATAACTTTACCAAAAGGAAGTCCGGGCAAAGGCACCATTCTCAGTGCTGTCTTTGTTCGTCTCCCTGCCAGATTCTGCCGTCTCCCCACCTGCAGCAGACTGAAGCAAGGAGGTGGGAGACTTGAGGTCAATCCCAGACACGGCCCTAGAAGCGACAGACATCGACAGAATCTGTGTAGGCCCTGCAACCCCTGCAGTTTTTGCCCATCAACAGACATAGGCGGCCAAGGCACCCCAACCCGGTCGCTGCCCGGAGGTGTCGAATGGGGCGAAGAATTGTGGTGCAGCAACAAAGCTGTCTGCGCAAAGGCTCGAGATGTAGAGTCGCAAGTCTTGGGCTTCAGGCTTTCAGATCTTCGAGACTTGTCACTTTAGTGGGATACCAAGGCCGTCTCTCCCTATGCTCCCATTCTTTTCATTCGGTCGGGGATCGGAGGGACCACCTGCAGTAGCACGCCCGATCCGTCAATCCCTTCTAGCAGTGCCGGGCTTACAGCTCCGGTGCCTCTAAGTCTTGCACGGCCCACATTCCGCGAAAGATTCAGCCAAAGGCACGTCTCTGGTCGCTGGGGGCACCTGCCACCCAAGCAGCGGAGGACATGGAGTTTACACCTGCCAGGAGGCATCTTCTCGGGACTCGGACAGGCAAGGCAAGGGGCAAGGACCACGGCGCGAGACTTCATTTAGGAAGTTCTTCCTTCTGTTTTGCGAGTTCTTGCTTTCTGCCCTCCAAACCCCCAACTTTCTAAGACTATCGGCCGCTGACCTTGGCAGAGGGGGGGGACCGGGGGATCGGGAAGCCAAAAAGCCGAGAACCGGGCACCGAGAAGCCAAAATCTGAAGGCCAAGAAGCCAAGAGCCAAAAGAGAAAAAAGAAATCCGTTGACAATGAAACCTCTCAAGCACTCGCCTTGTCCGCGACAGCAACACAGCATGTCAATGACAACTGCCTAGACCCCAATTGATTTTTACTTCTGACCTCCATTATCCGTTGTGAAGACGTACGGTGCTCCTTGTTTCTGCTTGTCTAACTGCCACAAAGCCTTGGAAGCATCGGTAAGGCTGCAGTTACTAGCCAACTCAGGCTCTTAAACACCCTGCAGGACGTGCCTGATTCCATCCTCTGCATGCCAGACACAAGTTCATGAAGAAGCGACCTAGGATGGGAGAGCGGTTCATCTGCAGACATGCAAGTGAAACACCAGGTTCCTCCAATCTCCACAACCACCAAAGGACATGGCGTTATGGACATCTTTCGCAATCCGAAAGAGGAGAGACATGTCGAGCAGATGCCGAGGATACCAGAACGGAGCGCAGCCAGCTCTCCCCAGATTAGCCTGCAAGTCGCTTCATCTTGTCCGTTTCCGCCATGTACTTTGCCACGTGGTGCCTTGACGAGGGCTTGCGATGCCCCCAGGGCAGCCGAGCGCAAACTTTGCATGGAACTGCTATTTCTTGCAGCATCTTGCAGCGTGGGTGCTGGATGTGCTCCACCTGCTTCCTCAGATAGTTGCACGTTTGAGATGCCCGCTTTGACACTAGAAGTCGTCAGAAGTTCGACAAGAATCATCTAAACATCAGGTCAAGCCTAAGACCCAAGACAGTCCCAGGCTCTGCATGCGCTTGATTTCCAGCGGGCTTTCGGATACTGCGATCTGCTGCAGCCCCTTGCAGAATTCCTCGATTCCTCGGAGTTGAACTATTTTTCGTCGGCTTCACATGGAAATGGCCGGTTGAAACGCGGGTCACGGTCTTGGCCTACATCATATGTTCATGTGACGTGGTAGATGCCAGCTGCCCAACTCTAAAGGAGCGTCCGATCTCTCCAGACTCCTGCAGATCCAGCGCGTCGAAGAGCTCCACAGCGTTGTCGAAACCTCAGCCGAGCCCAGGCTCCTCAAGAAGGGAGTGAAGCCCCCTAAAGAGCCTGCCAGTTGCAGCCACACGCTTCGAGCTTCAAAGCGTGCAACAACTCGGCCCCAGACCGGTCAGGTCTCGCAGCATCTGGCATGCGAGTGACTGCAGAAGCTCTGCAACTATCAGCCCTTCCGCCCCTCCTGCACAAACCCGCCGGGGGCCTTCTGCTCGCGTGGAGCTATTGCGGCTATCTCATCTCCTTAGTCTAAAGACCACTTTTGGAAGTCAAATGAACTCACAGTAGCACTTCGTCAATCTGCGTCACTAGAGTAGCTGGACCGACAGCTGGAGCACACAGCAGTCTCAGCAAGCTTTTTCGCCAGTGGTTCCAAGCGTTTGCTAAGGATGAACCATCACACGTCGAGGTGCTGGAGACCTCGCCCGAGTTGTCGTGGTCCAGGCGGAAGAACATGGAGCGCAGTTCAGCTAGGACCTACTGCATCGCTCCGTGACAGCTTCTGCGCAACTCTGAGAGAAAACCTCCCTGCGACATACTTTCGCTGCTGGCTGTGGTCTGAGGCCTTCTTCCGGTTCTGCTCCTCGATCGCATGCCTCAAGATGTGGCTACGCGAACCACGAGCCAGCACGATTCTCTGAAGCAAGGCCGAATGGCCTACTGTTTGAATCAGACTCTCCATACTCTCCCAACTGGTGCAATCAGGACAACTCTTGCTTACCCCTCAATGCACGAATGCCGCTGGACTCATGTCCCTGCCACCTCAGCACCTACAGTCCCAAAAAAAACCTTCCTGCAAGGTGAAGAATGTGCGGACAAGGAGCAGCAAGCTCTTATCCTTTGCCGCCTGCTCCAGGCTCGAATTAACGATCACCGCCGTGACCTCATCGACTCCCGTGATTCCCTCCCTGAAAGACGTTTTGGGTATCTCTCTCAGCTGCGGCACAGCTTCGGATAGCGTGTCAATATGGCAGAGCGACAGCCCCCGCACACCACACATATCATGCGCGTGTGTATTGCCACAGATCTGTACTGGCGTCCAGCTACAGTACCACTCGGCTGGCTGGGTATCTTCGGACTGTCCGGAGCTGGCAAGGGCAAGGTTGCGGAGGTCGGGGGCTGTTTTCCTTGAGTTAGAAGTTTCCCTACCGCAGCTGACTGAACCATCTCACCATCCCATTCAACTCCCGAAGGTTTAAGCGATCTCGCGGGGACCCGGCCAAGTTCATGATCACAATTCCGACGACCAGGATGACCTCAAGGGAAGACATGCCACAACCGTGCTGTCAGGCGGTCTTATCCGAAACGTCTCCTATTGCAGAGGTTACAGTCGCAATTGTGAACCCAGGTGCAAGAACAAAGTACAGAAGGAGGACCTGGCATCGGATTCGCTTCATTCTTTCAGCCATGTATGCCTTTCAAAGGCCGACACTCGGGTGACTTCTGGTTGGTCAAGCATGTGGAGGCCTTTGGCTCCAGCACTCGGACACTCAAGTCCACCCTGTTGCTTCCTCTCTGAACACCAGGAGCAAAGTGTAAAGCATAAACGAAAGAAGCTCGCCGGCAGCACCACGTCTCTGTCTGCGAGCGGCTTGTACACGTAAACCTCACATCATTACCCACCAACAAAAAACCACTAATTGGCCACCCAGTGCAGCGATCCAGCACAATCATGGAAAGGTCAGCTTCGAAAACACAACTCCCTATCATGTTCGCATAGCAAGCAAGTGGAGGCGATGCAGTGTCAGGCGCGCAAGCCCAGGCGAAGGCTGCACGTGTTTGCAGCTCGAACACAAATGAAACGCGAGCCAGGCACAATGTTGTCGAAGGAAACAAACCTGGACACATTTTGCGCTGCTGGTCCCGAACCACTGGGAAGTAGGTACACAATGCTTCAAGGATCTGCATCTGCTTAGAAAAAAGGTCGGCGATGTCGAGCTATCACAAACCTTCCGTGCTGCATACCAGGCAAGAGGCTGAAGAAGCGTGACCATGGCAGCTGGCAAGTTACCTGGTGCCAGAGACGGCGATTGATACCGGCCGAAGACAGGGCAGTGCTCAAACCTCAGAACCTCTTCAAGAACAGACCTCTCGAGGTAGCTCTTGGACCGATGAATCCGCTTTTCAGCTGAGGCTCTGAAGTTCTCCTTCACGACCCTTGCAAACTCCTGGCTGCAGTGACACCGGAATCAAGCAAAAAGGCCGAAAGCATTGCGCCTCGTCCTCTTGTATCATCGGGTGCTGATACAAAAGCTGCAGGATGAGACATGCAAATATGTACCTTGGAACGTCTGTGCTCCGGAGGTCACGGGACCAACTTATCTGGAGGCAAGATGAGCTGCAGTATCACTACGAGCAGAAGGATGGTGTAGATCATTGTGTAGGCTGAGTTCGCCAAACCTGGCAACAGGCAGATTCACGTGGCATCCCGGCCCTTCCACATGTGAAGGAACGGCAGTGGGCGCCTGCCACCAGGAGCCACAGCTCGCGGAAGCGCATCAGGTAGCGCACCGTCTTGGCCTTGGGGAGCGCAGGACGGGACCGGACAGGAGGGAGGCGGGGGCGAGCCGAGTCCGAGGGGCGAGTCTCAGGAGCCGCGCCATTCGGAGCAGGATCAGGGTGTTCACCTCGCCGCGAACATCCGACGCAGTGGGGCTTTGGCTCTTTGGGGCCGCCCGGGCCTCGGAAACATCCGAGAAGAAGGGCTCCAGAATCCACTGGCTCAGCACCCCGACGACGACCAGGAACGTGTCCTGAGACGTAGCTCTCTGAGCACCTTTCCGACCGCATCCGCCACCGAGCCAAGACGCGAAACGCACCCAGTTGTCCGAAACAGCCCGTCTGCAGTCGACGAAGAGCCGCATCAGCAGCTCGACCACGTAGACCGCCAGGAAAACGTGTTCCAACCTTTAAGAGAGCGGTGTCCCATGTAGCTTGACGCTCCGGTTACGAGTATCCTGGAATATACAATTACGAGCAACTAGTACTGCAAGGAGTCCCTGAAGCTTCTCCGAGCAACGTACCGCAGATGGTCGTGTCCTTGCCTTCCGCCCGCCATGTCAGGTCCAGACCTATGTTCACCTGAGCTCCAGCCATCAAGTGAAGCCCCGGCACCGTCGTCCCAAGAGATTCCAAAGAAGTGACTGCTTGAGATGCTTCGAAGCCCGGGCGCAGCATTGGCAATGATGATGAGGCCAAGGAAGGAATCAAACTTCTGAGAATTCAGGAGCTCTCCTAGGGCGACTGGGATGGTGTTTGCTTGGCTGAAACTCGGCCAGTCAGTTCTGGCCTATGTAGTGTCGAAGCATTGCCAGTCGAACCTGCCAGAATTTATTGACGAGGCTGTGCGACCGGATTTGTGCGGTCACTCTTCCCGTCCGAATCGTCCAACTGGACATCGAAACCCTGAACCCACCCAAAGTGTTCTTCACCGGGCTTTCACATAGCACATCCAGACACGGCTTTGCTCAATTGAGTGCTCTTGGTGCGAGTTCGAAGGTTGTGACGCCATGATCAAGGTTGCTTTCCTGAGGAAACTTGTCTACTGGTCTGCAAGTGGCCCTCCACTTTGCTCCGCCTGCCTCGAACTGGGTAAGAGAGCGGTTCCTGTAGCCTCTCCGCCCAGAACGGTTCGACTTGGGCGAGTGAGATCGAGCAGATCTTGTAGATCGAGACCTTCTCAACGCACACGTGACGTGTGGGGCACTGAACGAACTGCCAGCTCCCTTGACCAAACGCAGAACTGGCACTAGAGCCCAACTCTGCTTTTGCTGGAACCCAGGTTTGGAGCGCCTGGGCGATGGCTCTGATGGCGCGCTCTGCTCAGACTCCCCCAGCTCGAGCGCTGGCTGCGGTACGTCGACCTGCATGGCGGGGTCAGCACCGGGCCTGAGGAAACCACTGTGGGACTGGCAGTGCTCCTCACTGCCAGCTTCGGGTTTCGGTCCGCGGGAAAACGGCGCCCTACCTCGATGCCCTTGATCTGCACGGGGCTTGGACAAAGGGAGTCGGTCAGTCCGATGAGCGGCGGGGACTGCACAGGGACGGATCTCGCAAATTTGACACTAGGTGCAGCTCACGCGACATGATCCACATGCGACTCCTCCACAGTGTCCATGGTCGCGCTGTCCTTCATCATTAGGTCTGCGTCTTTGTGATAACCTCGTGTCGGTTATCTTCAGCAAATAGACTCAGCCGCATGTAGCAGATTAAAGCAGAAGCTGCTTGACGCCTCAGCCGTGGGGTGGGCTCAACTGCCGGCAAGTGGCCGTCTTGCAGCGGAGCCGGCACCACAATAGGCTCCTCTCTTCCCCCATCAACAGACCAAACATTGTGTGGTTTCGGCGAACAGAAAGTGCACGTAAGCTTTCCGAGCTAGGAGTTGTACCTATGATCTTGTCGACAGGGTGCCCGCATGACAAGATCGACTCTACGACTAGAAGATCGCTTCTGGCCGTGCAGAGTCGGAGCCCCTCCCGGCCTTCCCGTGGCCCGAGGCCCGAAACCTCAGAGAAACCAGATCAATACTTTCCTATCCAGAGCGGGATTATAGGCTCTGCGAGGGTGACCACCGCGATTTCGAGGCAACTTGAATATCGAAGACAAGGATACGAGGACGAGGACCAGCTGTGTTTGTCTTGCAAGTGCAGACAACAATTCTCGAGAATGCAAAAACGCCAAGGTTCCAGCGGGTCGCTCTCCATCGGCACCCAAGAAAAACTATTCCTTGCGGGCTAAAACCTTGCTTTTTATCTGTTGTGGAATCGAACTCAGCTTCCTCATGGGCCTTATTTTCTCTCTAGCGGACGCGATTTTGTCACTGTGGCCCTAAGCCCAGCTGCTGGTTATGGGGCCTGCAGGGGGAGTGGGGCTTTGAGCGTCCTGTCCTAGTCAAACAGTCCTCATCTCTTCGAGCAGCTGCGATGTCGAGACATCCAGGAACGTGCTTAGAGGCAAAAGAAAGAAAGGATTGGAGCCCAAAAGGGGAGCGATCCTTCCGGGCACTGCAGTCTCGAAGCGACGCTTCCGGAATCCGCTGCTTCACAGCAACCATACTAGTGACTGAAAGAAGAGCTTTCTGAACTCAGGGCACTTCACGGGCTTCACGGCTTCGATGAACTCGTGGCACCGACCTTACTTCTCCGCACCCGATCTGCCTCTTCCCCCGTCTGAACTTGCCCGAGCTCGCGGCATTTGTTCGTCGGCTGTGAGCTTCTTCCTGCACGTGATGCCCTGACTCTGCTCTTGCTACCTGCATGCGTTCAGCCTGACGAAGACCTCACGAACCATGACATTGGCTTTGGCATGCTTTGGCACGTGGTGGCTGGTGCTGCCAGTCCTCGAAAGCCAGGTCCCATTTGTCAAGGCACCGCACGTCCTCGGCATGGCAGCCGGGTCTTGCAGTGCAGCTCGGGTTCATCAATCTCTGTCGCCAACCACCAGCTGTCCCCTTAGCCTGGCACCTGCTCGGTCAGCGCCCCATGCTCATCCACATCAAAGCCTGGGCGGGAGCTTGCTGTCACGAAGACATCGAATCGCTGACGGCCCAGATCTTCTGTGCCGAGAAGGTGTAGAGTGTAGATGCCGACTCATTGTAGACAAAGCTGGAATATGCCGGAACATCGCGCTGCGACAGAGGGTACCAAGCTGAGCTTGTGGCACAAGCGCTTGCAAAGTTAGTTCTTCAGAAGACCGTCGGCACCGCTAGTTGCAAGCACTGGGCGACGAACCTTCGAAGAGTATCTCTGCCGCCTGCTGCTAGAACATAAACAGCGTGTGCAACGGTGTGCAACAGGGCAAAACCTGCCGCTCCCTGCCTCCTTTGTCAACACCTCCTCGTCCACGAGAGCCTGCCAAGCCGCCAAGCCATCGTGCGATCGGAAAGCAGACTTTCGCAAAAAACACTCGTCAACGTCGGACCTTGCGGAACATGCCCTTCGACAGCTTCAGGCCCTGGGACTCCAACCTCAAAATCTCGAGTGGAATTGTTCAGGAATCTCTCTCTCTCTCTCTCTCTTGCTTGCTTGCTCAGGGGTTTGGGCCCCCGAAGGAACCCTGGCCCCAAGGCCTACCCCCGCGACGGTCTCACTCTGTCTCTCTCTCTCTCTCTCTCTCTCTCGCCCTCTCTCTCTCTGCTGCGCCATCGCCATCATCAAGAGTCTCGCAATGCAAGGGCACGAAAACGCAGGCTAGAATATCAGGAGGCATAGATTGCTCAGGAATATTGAATATAGAAAACTGAAGGCAAGGCTTCTTCAGCAGGGACGCCACGAACTTGGCCTCAGCTTGGACCAGTCTTCGCCGGAGCCAGCACAACTCAACATCGCGCAGGGCAAGTGAAGCTGTGTTTTGAATTTGTCCACCCGGCGGCAGCCAGAGGCTGCTCTTGGGAGCGACAGGATGGAAATCTACGACCGACCTACCTGCATTCGCCTTGGCCTTTGCAGGACTTGCACTGGCAGTATCGAAAAAGAGGATGCTGCGCAGTGTCTCTGAGAGCACCGCCACGCTTCCGTGGCTAAGTGTCGCCCAGCGTTTCAGTCGAGTCGCAGCCTTCCGATTGCAGCGATTCCGCAGCATCTGACGACTCGCTTCGGAGCAATGCGCCTCGAAAGCCTCGGGGTAGAAGGTGCGGAGGGTCGCCCAGCCGAAACACTCCTTTGCAGATATCCAAGCTTGAAGCTACTGCTTCAGCTGCTGTGGGGTAGAGCATGAAAACCCCAGGCGAGATAAACAGGATTCGATGGTACGCTTGCTGCTACGCTCATGTGTCGGGGGGGGGGGACGTGGTACGTCGAGGGGGGCGGTAGTAAACACACAAAAGAGGTGACACCCAGGCTGGGTCTCGAGAACCATCGGATTGCCACCTGCCTCGTCCAGTGTCCTCCAGACCTGAACTCACAACGCTGACGGCACCTCAAGGCCGTGAAGAGTGGTGATTGTTTTTTTTGCCGCCAGGCCTTGGCTGCGTCCTCCTCCATGTTAGGGAGGCCGCCATGGCGGCGTGCGATGTTCGCCTCACGAGTTAGTCTCGAGATGCCGCTGTCGCTCAATGGAGCTCATCCACTCAGCGTAGGACGACACCAAGCCGAAAGCGGAACCAAGAGATCCGGAACAGCCTTTGCAGAGAATCGTCTCGACTCTGACATGGCCACTCGTGGTGCGAAGCAGACGAACGGGTCCGAATGGACCAACCCTTTGGTTCTCCGAAACCGAACGCATCCAACAAAGCGGGAAGGAGAGCTTGATGAGAACTAACGGGGGGCTAAGTGCCGCATGGATGCTGGTCGGGATCCCATAGCCGGAACCTGGCGGAGCCACAGAGAGAGAATGCGAAGCCGCTCCCTCCAAGCCGAGGCCCTGGCCAGGCGCGCAGCGCGCTCCCGTGGAGCTCGACCAGGGCCTCGGCTTGGAGGAGCGAGGAGAGTTGCGGCGCGGAGGTATGCAGGATCTCGGAATGATATGTCCTTCTTAAGATCCAGGGTGCTATATGATCGATGCTCAACAACTCAACGCTGATCGACGCCCAACTTGATGATCGTGGCTCCCCGGCGCACGCATCCGGCCCCTTCCTAGCAACCTGCCCCATCGAATAAGCACTGGCTGATAGGCTGGGACAGCTGCGCTTCGGAAGCTGTTCAGCAAACGCAAGTCGCCGCGGACAAAGTAGTACGGTGGTGGGGTCCTCGTGGTCTGAAGGAAGCGATGGCTGCAAGCCATTCAAGGCGCGAAAGCAGTGGTTATTGGTGTCTTGCTCTTGGGTGCACGGCCACCTCTGCAGAAACAACAGATCTTTGACCTGGCCATCAAGACTTCGCTTGTGTGCGCACAGGCGCAGGGACAAAGCTAGGGTGACCCGACACTCTTCCAACATCTGAAACGATTCTGGACTGTGCATACTCGGAGCAGTGCCGAAATTGTTGTGCAGTTGTAGCGGCCTTGGCCCAGATGCATTGGGCAGATCCGCCGTGGCTCACATCGCTGAGGGCCGCTGCAAAGCAAGTCGAACAGTCTCCGGGATGTCCCCTTGGGCACAGAGCTTTTCAAGCTTCACTGTGCGAAAATCCGGCTGACTGCGGTGCCTTGGAAGGCTGAGGAGTCTGCGGGAGGGCAGTTCAACGCATCCATCGCTCGTACAAACCTGGGCTGACGGATAACAAAAGGAACCCCACGTAATCACGAATCTGGCAGAAGGGCTCATCTTTGCTGGCTCGATGGCTGCCTTTGGAGTCCACCTGCAGGCCAATTCAATCTCAATGGCAAACATGGAGATGAAGATGGCACCCACTTCGTCTGAGCTATCGGCGGATTTCATGAACTTCTCGGCGCTGCCTGGCAACTGTGGCGGCAGTGTCCTGTGGGTATGTTCTCTCTTTGGAGCGATGGAAAGCTTTCGCCAAAGGCCTTCGAACTGCTGAGTGAAGATCACCTCCACTCCCGCGGACTGCACGTGAACCCGACTGGCCCCACTCCCTGCTCTCGGCCTTGAGGTCGGCCAACTGCATGGCAGACTGGGGGTCGATGTCACTGAACAGTATGCTACCTGCGATCAGCAGCACGGAAAACCGTCCCAACAAAGCTGCGATCTCGAGCCTCGCCTGAACCATCGTGGTCCAACTGTCGCCACAGGGTCGTCAAGCAGCCGGAAAATCCGATCTCCTCGGGCGCAAGTGGGTCTCCCTGGTACAAACTTTCCTTGCCCTCACGAGCACGGGCCTCGCAACCCCGGACAAACTGCTTGTTGGCCAGCTTGAGGTGCTCCTGGCACACTGGGTCTTATCTGAAACCGGGCGCACCGACCCCATTCTGCTGTCATGAAACAGGCGGAGTTCAAAGACCTCAGTTTGATCATGGTGCCTCGGGATCCAGAACGAACCACAGGCGCACGCAGTTGCCGAATCTTCCTGGGCTTCCGAAGGCCATCCATACTGCAGCAGCGACACGCAGCAGTAGCAGTGACACAAAACTGGAACTTCTTGTGAGGCAGGCTGCTGTTTGCAAACGCAGTGAAGTCGGTCTGGGCCTGCCGGTGTCAAGAAGAGAAGCAGGAAAGTCGGAGGCAGCGGCATAGGAGGATGGCCTGCAAGCCTCTGCGCAGCGCCGTGTGCCGCGGGCTGGGGGCCTCTTGAGCCTCGCCGGCAACGCCCCGGCAACTCCGGTTCCCCAAAACATACAAAGAAGATTCCAACTCGGACGCCACCTCCTCGCTCTTGTCCGGCTTGTGCTTGACGAGCCGCGGTGGCGGGGTCTCCGGTCTGAGTGTCAGCGATTGAAGATGGATGTCCAGAGAAGCAAAGGACCAGAGTCAGGTAGGGTAGTGTACAGTGCACAGAAGCTGACATGGAAGCTGAGTTTGTCTAAGCCACGACCTCTTCGTGGCAGCTGCTGCCCGGCTACCGACTAGCCCTGCAGCACGACTGACCTTGGCGCACAGATGCACACAGCTCTTTCGGGAATGTACTACGTTCGGGCTTGCATGATCAAGCCCCGTGCCCAGATGAGGGGGTGCAACCAATCCAGGGTTCGGGCTTTGTCATCGATATCCGCCAGAACTGTCCGCAGCTGCGGCAAGTTGTCCACGCCCTGAGTGCTACGAGTACTGGAATCTTGACAGCGGGAGTCGCTCTCCTTGTGGCCCTGTCTGTAGAGCAAAAAATTCTACAGCAAAGCAGTCCAGCGCCTGCGCTTCTGTTTCGTCCAGTGCATGCCGTGTGGCCAGCACCTGCGGGAGACATGTTAGAGAGCCTCTCCCACCAAGCCACGTCCTATGCCATGCACGCACCTTCAAAACGAAGGCGGCATGCTTCAAGGCCAGGAAGCAAGCCCCCCGCGAGCAGCGCACGAAGTTAGCCTGCCGCTCGAAGGGATCTCCAAGGCCCAAAGCCTCCACGTGGAGAAGGCCTGAGCTGCAGCCCAGTTGAGCTGAGCGTCCTCTAGTAGACGCAAAGCTGGTACCTCGGCTCCAACCAGCAGGAAGCCCGGATTTCCCCTTGCAAGAAAGCAAAGAAGCCTAACAGGCTCCCCCATCTCTAGTCGAGTCACAAACTTTTCCAGTACGAAGGCCTGGGCAGGCTACGGACGGGCAGTCAATTCTCCCTCTTGACCTTCAGTTTGGGGGCTTCTACATTCTGGAGCATGGAGTGGACTCTCATGACAGAACAACGGAAGCATGTCGGACAACTTTGACACTGGCCTTGTGCCCAGATGCCTCGCTGCCCAGCGGCAAGTCACCCATTACCTCCAGGCTGAGACGGCGCATCACCGCATGGTCCACTTTCACCGCAAGATCACGATGACCGATGCTGGCTTCAAGTCTCACAATGCCCAAGACCGCTGAAGGACAACACCGAAGACAGCTCAAGGAAGTGGGAACGCCACGAAGGTCTTGGCACTGCACTTCGGGGGGCTTGTAGTGGCCAGGCTGAACGGAACAGCATCTTATCGTGCCTCAGGGAGCCTTGTGGCAGCAGCAGCATCCAGCACCAGCCAGGTCTGTGTTGCAGGGGCTTCTGTTTTGCAGCGAAGGATGTTCTACCGCTGTGACAAGTTCAACGAAACGTTGGCAGGCTATTCGTCCCCACCTCCGCGGGTAACCGCACCTCCCCTCCGGCGCCCCGCAAGCGGATGGGGGTTGCAGCCTGGCACAACTGGCTCTCGAGGGCCGCTGCAGAGTACCCCCGAAGATCGTTGTAAAGACCCCCATGTGCATGCTGAGTCCTCTCAAGCAGCCATGACTGGAAGGAGCTGCAAGCTCAATGTTAGTACTGTTACACGTCTTCTTGCAACGAGTTTCAAAAGAATCTTCAATTCAAGGACACGTGGTCATGCGCTTGGCACGGGCATGCTCGTCGCCTCGGCAACCACGATGTTCAACGCTTCCTGCAAGCAATGTTGATCTGCAGCTGACCATACTGCGGGGGAGACACCCCTGGCCCGAAGACCGAATGTTTTTCCCGGGTTCAACGCGAGAGACACCACTGAGGGAGGGCACTGGCAGACGCGGAAACTGCTATGGCAGCTTGTTTCGTCTCCACCGCAAGTGTTGGTCTGGTCATGGAAGGAGCAAGCAGTGCTTTCAGGATGGGACATAGTCCCAGTTGTTACAACTGCATGCAAAACTGGCGCAGCCAGGCACACCGCCTTGGGTGGACCGGTGCTTGTTGAGACCTGATACGGCGGTTCGCTCAGCCTGCTCAATGGCCGCCAACAGCGAGCCCGCTGCAAGCCTTCATCTTCGGGCGGCAGGCTGACTTGACGCAGTGCGTGCAAGCAGGAGCTTTGTCGTTGGTGATGCACTGGTTCATGCAGTGGTCCCGAGAACAGCCCACCAACTGCGCCATGCAGGATGCGCAGGAGCCGGAGTAGCCCTTCTTCTGCATGCAGTCCTTGGTGCATGGGAAGCCAGCAGCACAACCACGGCCGCAACTGTTCAGGGCGGCGTCGAAGCTTTTCTTGCCGCCGCTCTTCCAAGTCTTCATGTCTGCGGCACCGGTGCAGCCGCCACCCTCGAGCTCGGCCTCCTCCTCCACCTGCGTGGACTCCTCTTCGTCCTCCTCCAAAGCCTCCAGGTAGTGGACCTTGATGCCGCGAAGCTGGTTGAGCTCCAAGCTGCAGTCCTGCCCGGCTTCGCAGACATCATCCGATGCCAAAGCCGTGGCCACGTCCTCTGCGAAGGCAGCTGCAAAGCTCAAGAAAACGAACAAAGCTCGGAAGGCCATGGCCGGTAAGCGACTGAAATCAAGCGCTTCTGAACTTCTGTGAGAGCAAAGTCAGGCTTGACCCAAAATGGCTTACCCGCCTCCTCTCTGTCTCTGCCACTTTACATCAGTTTAAAGTGCCATGTGGTCCGAAGTACGCCGAAACTCCATATCCTGGCACGAGGTCTGGACTCCTCCATGACCCCATCACATTGACATCTAAGCATGCAAGCTGTTGCGATGGCACGGCCTGCGCAGCAGCTGCATCGGCTTCGCTGTGCTGCGGAAGTGCACGAGGCCGGCGGCGCCGGCGTCGAGGCGGCGGCTGGGCAAAGGCGCACGCAGCCGCTTCGTAAGATTTTTGCACGTTTCAGGCGAGGCAAGGTTTGCAGTCGGCGCCTGCTGTGCCCGGGGCTTCAGCACACAGCTAAGCTTCAGGTACTTCGGCACCTTGCCGTCAAACTCGAAGCCTCCCAGTCGCAACTGTGCCCCCTGCGTACTAGTACTGGCACCGATTCCTGTGCAAGACCCAGAAAGAAAATGCAAGAATCTCACTGGCCTGGGCGGCTTGGTGTTGCACTTCGCTCCTCACTCCGCTCCGTGGCCTGAATTTGGAGCTTCCACAAGTGATGTCCGAAGTTGGAAACCCGAAACCCAGGTGCCAGGCACAAGAGCTTTGACACGTTTCGGGGTCCTCTCGGCCTGCATAGAGCTGGCTCTGCAACACATGGCATCAAGCCCAGTAAAGCACCACGGCCGGCTTACCTGATGCCCCTGACAGCTTGCCCTGAGCCCGGCGGATGCGCACCTGGATGGGTCGAAGGCCCCTCATTTTCCTACCCCGTCGGGCCAATTTTTCAGTAGGTGATTTGCTTGCACTGCCGTCACATGGTTTCGGTTCAGGTGAAATGAATAGACAGCATCTCATTGAGGGGAGACGTGTCTGAAGATCCAGATCTTATTCGCGGCTTCCTCGCACGGCCTGACTCCATGCGATTGATATCATGCGACAACAAGCCTCCCTTGATCGAATTTCCAACCTCCTCACCCGTCATAGCAAAAGATAGCTAAACTGACACTTGCCTCTTCTTTCATGAGCCAACCAAATCCCAAACACCGAAGTTGGGCCCTCGATCCTCATCCTTGAGTGTCACCCCGTCCGGGCGAGCGACCAGTTCGAGGGCCTGACAGGCTTCGGCATTGGGGAGGGTTCGTCGCAGACCGACTACGTAAGCCATCGGTCGGCTCATCTCCTTTTCCCGTTCATCGCAGGAGGTCTGTCCACTGTCGGCGAGTGGGATGGATACCAGCAAGCTGCCCAGTTTGTGGAGGCGAAGTTGCGAGTTTTTGGGGCCGCAGACAGATCTGATATGAGTGGGTCACAGCACTCTCTGTTTGCTCTCAATCCTACAAAGAGCTCCTATCACCTATGCACATTGGCCGAGCAGTCGCCATTCTCCAGCCATCAACCGGCTTTGTCCGGTCGGCCGTCCATCCAGGTGCATTGAAACTAACCGGCAGGCACGCCGCCGCTCACATCAGCACGGGAGGAGATATGCATGTGCCACTCGAGCATACTCGATGAGGGGGAGGCTGCTCGCATCGACAATCTTCAGAGTTGGCCACAGCCATGACGTACTGAGTGTCTCTTACACGTTCACTCCTGGAACCGGTGTGCCTGCATGGCTTCACATTACCCACGCCAAACTGACCTCCTGGCCTCGCACTGAGCAGAGACCACAAATGTGGAGCTGCGCCCATAGCTTAAGATAAGACTATAACACGTCCCGTATGATTCACTCATCCGGGAGGTCATAAATCGCTTCTCAGCTTGATCCGATGCTCCTGCAACAGTGCGACGGGACCACCAGGCTCGCCCCTCACTAGCTCTTGCCACGGCATCAACACAGCACAGCACATCGCATGGTCCCTCCACGGGAAAACTGGTGAAAGAATCCTCCCTCCGTCTTCCCGTCCTTGACTAATCTCATGAGACCAAGGCCTGAATCCTTGATCTCTTGCAACCGGTTCTCCTGAAAACCATACACGGATTCAGCCGAGCCAGCACGAGCAATCACTTGGTTCAGCTGCATGGAGGGGACATCCAAAACCATACTAACCTTGCTGCTGCTGGGAAGTCTGTCTCCTTGGCAATCTTTGCCTCTTCGTACTCCTTCTGCATGCTTTTCAGAAGCTCGTCCACTTCCTGCATGCAATAAAGGTCTGGAGAAACAACTCCAGTTAGCAGAACCCTTGCCCATTTTGGGTAATAATACCACCAGTCAACCCATTAGACGATTATTCCTGTACTCCCCCCAACACCTCAGCAACTATATCACCACTACTTCCCCATTACCAATAATGCCAATACCAGTATAAGAATAACCGATTACCGCATCCATATAAGAGGATTATTCCTATACTCCCTACTACAATAGACCGATTGGGTATCCAAACTGGCGCAGGCAGTTTGGATACCCAATCGGGTTCGTCGCTTCTTACCCGCTTCGCAACAGCATTGCTGTAAGCGGCTAGCTGTGCCATACTAAGTATGCACAGAAAGGAAACATTGCAACATCACGTCTGCATGGTACACACAACCGTGCGCACAGTTTGTGTTGCACACATGTTTGCAAGCATGCTGCTTGATATTGTTGTGTCGAACAATCGCCTTAGCCAGCATCAATGCATAATGCGCATCACACTTGAACCCTTTTTTTTGCATCGGGCCTTTACCACCGCCCTAAACCTAGTAAAATCTATGAGAGAGAACCCTTGCCCACTTTGGGATGATGATACCACCTTAGGGAATATGGATGGGGTAATTGGTTATTCCTATACTGGTCTTGGTAATGGGGAAGTAGTGGTGATATTTGGGGGATTGTAGTAGGGAGTATAGGAATAATCCTCTTATATGGATGCGGTAATCGGTTATTCCTATACTGGTATTGGCATTACTGGCAATGGGGAAGTAGTGGTGATATAGTTGGTGAGGTGTAGGGGGGGGAGTATAGGAATAATCGTCTAATGGGTTGACTGGTGGTACCCAAAATGGGCAAGGGTTCTGCTAACTACTCCGAAGCTGAGCTCCTCTCAGCGCACAGGCACTGTCCTTCTCTGCTGCCGTAATGGATGCCTCCTGCTCCTTGATCTTTGAATTTAGATCGTCGGCAGGCATTGCCATGTACTCCTGGCAACAGCTCGGACGGAAGCGAAGCAAGCCGGTTCACCAGAACCTCTCTGCCAAAGCTTTGCCGAAGGGAGACAGGTTCAGCCGCGGTGCTTTGCTCTTGCACTGGGCCGATGGTGATAGTGCTGGCGTAGCATCGTGTTCATATGGGGCATCGCTCACACTAACACTCGTGATCGTGAAAATGATAGAGATGATGTCTTGGAATTCGCGGAAGGGCAATAAACCCTGTACTCTTCAGCCCTTCACACTGTACATGTTTAAGATAAGGCTGGAAGCATCGTCGTCTTCATCATCACCATCACCACCACCACCACCACCACCACCACAATCATCATCATCATTTCAATGCCTCCGCTGTTGCACGGCATGCGAGACCCTCGCCGCACCGAAGCCACAGCTAGAGCGCGCGATTTCATGCGCAACTGGAACCATGCACACCAGTGGTGCGCTTCCTGAGCTCTGGAACCCAAAACCGAAGCTTTTCAAAGGACGCCGCCGTGAGAGATTTGGTGGGCGTGGTCTGGGCTCCGGCTCCTCCAGCTGCTTCCGGCTGAGCACATCACACAAGTCGATGTTCTCCGGCCCGCAAGTCGGTCGAAGACTCTCCTCACAGCTTTGCTGCGCTCGTCATGAAATCTAGCGATGCACATTTGCCGCAAGATCTCTCGGGGCGCCTGCGCGAATTTCTGCAGACTCGGAAGGTCCCTTCCTCCCGTGTAGTCCTCGAGTGCAGTTGACACTCGGGGCGGACCGTTCTATGGACCGTTCTTTCCTCATCCGAGAACGAACCCAAAAACCAACTACCGGCAGCTGCCAGCCCTGTCCTCCAAGTTGTTTGGGTTCCCGTACTTGATACTTGGGAAATTCTTGATGCCGACCTCGTCGCACTTGGTCTTTCCATCACCAACGCAGTCCACGTCGGCCACGAGTATGCTGGAATGCGCTTTGTAGTCCTGGAAAGGTTCGAAGTTAGAAGTTGCAGGCCTCTTGCAACGATCAGGGAGGCACAGTCAAGGGAGGCAAGGAGCATCCGCAAGACAACTATCTATCCAGACCTTTTCCATTACCTTTCAACCTATGAGCAAGACATTTACCTGTGGCAGCATCGCCGGCCGTCCTCCATCAACTTATCCCATGCTGGCTTCATGCTCTTGCAGTGACCACACCAGGGAGCAAAGAACTTTACAAAAATTGTTTTGCCGGCCGTCTTCTCCTGAGATGTGAACAGAAGGTAGCGCAAGATGCGCAAGGCCCTAGATCGCAGCGGCTTTCTGAGAGCCGGTCGTCCCAGTCCGCCTTCGTGAGTTCCAGGCCCCCAGCGGCGGCGAGAAACCCAGCAAGAAGGGCCACCCTGACCGCCCCCATCGTCGGAAAATGCGGGGCAAGCGCCGGGTTGATGGGACTGTAAGTAAGTCTCTTCAGCTACTGGCCGGTCTCGGTTTATGCTGAGGCTCTGGGTATGAGTGATGCGAGGAAAGAGTGGGGCTGCTATGGTGGATCAAGGTGCCTTGGTTGATCGAGGTCGCATGAAACCTGCTGTGACCTCTTGCACTTCCATGCCGTCTCGAGCCAGGTTACCAGGTAGGCAGGTTTCAACAAATCACAACGAGACACAGACTCAGCACCTGAAAATCACATTGTGCGCACGAACCTTTGCTTCCTCCTGCTTGCGCTGTAAACACGGCTTTTGCGTTGTCGGCGCCGTCATGGCATTGCATGCACGTGGCCGGACATGAACCCTTGGACCTCGGAGTGTGCTCTCATCACCCATGATCAAGGTTCGCAGGGCAAACGCTCCCGGGTGGAGCGCTGAGAGCGCACCCCCAAACGCCCGAGCCACTGAGGGCCCTAAAGACTTCCTAAGTGTCGAAGAAGACTCTGCAGGACCTGTGTCCTTGACTTTGGCCACAGTTGCACTTCTTACAGGTTTGGTGGGGCAGGGCCATTTCAATCAGCAGAGTCCGAAGAAACCACTGTCAGCGAGGTTTGCATTATATACAAAGTTCTTGCGTTGAACCCTGGCAGCAGAAATTAGAGGGCATGCCGAACTCCTTGCACGATACGGAATGATTTGTGGAGTCTGAAGCGAGGACACACACACACACACGCGCGCGCGCGCGCGCTAGTCGTTCCATCATCACGACGATGTGCCGAACGATTTGTTGGGCTCCTTCAACAGACCGCTTCATACTCCAAACTGCAAGAAGTCACGAATTGCTTCTTGCGATGGCAACCTGGGCAGTCAAGGAAAAGGCTCCAAACACCAATGGTCGACTAGGCAGCCACCACACCAAACCCTCCTGAAAAGCTTTCCTATCCTGAACTTGCCAAACTGGAACTCATGGAAGCTGGTAGCCCAAGCACCTTCAGGCCTCCTGCTTGGTGTACTCTCTGTACACCTAAGACGGGCACAGACTTCAGTGCGGCAGTGCTGCAAGGTAAAGATGACCCTCCGCTCTGCTTCCAAGCCTGCGCTGCCTTCATCAGCGAGAGGCCTCTCTCGTTGATCTCCTTCCAGCTCGAGGGCACAAATTCCAAGGCTGCAAGGCTCTGCCAGGAGGAAGTGCCTGGCCTTCTGCTTCTGTGCCTTCAACTTCTGTCCAGCCTTACGGCAGCTGTCGTGGTCCATTCTAGGGCCACCACAGTTAAACCAATCCTACGAGGCGTGTCAGCTAGAGGCAAGATATTGCAAAAGCTTGCCCAAGGTACCGAAGTAAGGCCCGCAGCTTTCAGCAGGTTTGATTCCGCCTCGCCTCGTACTGTCTCTGGAGGGACTTCAGGAGCGCATCGAGCTCCTTCTCGGCCTCCTGGCTCTCGGCCTCCCCTTCCTGACGGAAAGGACCACTTTAAAAAACCGCAGAAACCTGCGTCCATCTGCAAGAAGAATCTAAAGAGTCCTCGATCTTCGACTTCAGCTCCGTCATGGGCAAGGTCATGTAGCCCTATGGCCGTGCCGCTCGAGCCACACTTTGCAAACAGTGCTTGCTTCATGGCCTGCAGCTGCTTCTGCTGCTCTTCGTCGCAGAGATCCACTTGTTCGGGACTGCAGGATGGTTGCAAAGCCTCCTCGCAGTGACATGCAGATACATGCAGCGACCGTCACTGAAGACACGGATGCTGGATGCTGCTCGACTCTTCAGTTCGGCGGCAAGAAAGCGCCGACCGCGGCTTCGGCCGGGTGCTTGCATGTCACTCTAGGCCCTAGTCATCATGTTGACGAGAATCTGACACAATGGGGTGAAAATTAAAGGCTTTAGCATGCACAGAATGAACCGTTTAGTTTACTGGATTCTGAGCAGTCTGCGATCTTCGAACTTCGAAGGCGCTTCGACACAAAAACAAGGTTACGGTTCCTCGGCGAAAGCGGCCAGGTCTTCGAAGTCTCGACTGCCGCGGTAGTCCTACGAGGCAGTGGACTCTACGTTGACGAGGGCCCGCTTTGCCCCGCGACTTTCAGGTCCAAAGCCCATCCTCGAGGTCATGCGGACTGCCGAACCTCGGACGATCTACAGGAAGCTGCCAGCTCCAGGCCTCGAACAAATACTGTACTGTTCCGAGCGGCTTCAACGTGGGAAACGTCTTGATGCCCACTTCCGCGCACTTGCTTTTCCCGGCCCCGATGCAGTCAACGTTCGCGATGAGGATGTGGTCATGATCCTTGTATTCCTCCGGAAGCTCTTTAGACATCAATGGGGCAGTGACCATCACGACGGCGGGTGCTACCAAAAGCATTCGTTTGTCCTACCCCTGTTTCTTTTCAGCACTGCGGCATCTGTACACCCAATTGCCCACATCTCCTGTGCGAGCTGGTCCCACGCCGGCTTCATGTTCCTTGGCCAGGAGTTTTGAGAGCAACCCAGAAGAGGCTTTCCGCAATATGCCTAGCCATGATATTGCTTTCTGGGCTCTGGCAGTGCCCACACCATGGCCTGAACGAAACACGGCAGCATGCATGAGTGCAAGGAGCGGAGGCGCCGTTCGTGCCAAGGAGCGCATAGAACTTTACGAAAACATTTTTCCCTGCTGTTTTCACCTAGGCGAAGACAAAGAGACGTGGGCTCATACTGCCACGAACCTGTCGATGTGCTCACTTCAACCTGTCTCAGAGACAAGTCGCATCCCAATCTTCCTCGGTGAGATCAAGGCCGGCCCCTGTGGCCGTTGTGGCCATCACGGCGAAAAGGAGGATGCCCATGGCCATTGCGACTGCGACTGCGAGCTACTGGGGCAATAACGGACCCTGATGGTGCATGAACCTTTCGGGCCTTTGGGGCCGGGGATGATGGGAGCCCCCAGGAAAAAGCCTGCCAGTACTAGCATTAATGGCACCAAGCTCTCCCAAAGTCGCCTTGCCGACCTGATCCGTACGGCACATGGCAATCTGACACGGTTACAGTGCGTGCAGGACACAAACTGCTGGATGACTCTCGTGGACTGCCTTTGTTTGCCGTCTGTGTCAATCGGCGGTCTGATGTCACGTCGTCCGGCACGCCGGAACGTCGCTAGCAGTCAAGGGCAAACGGCAAGATTAAATCTTAGAAGCCCAGGCACCTGCTACATGCGCAAAACTTTACGGTCATAGCTCGTGACTTCACAAAGGCACGGCCAGGGCCTCGAGGTTTGTACATAAGATGCTCGCAAAGACTCTTGAGCATCAACATGGCGACATAGAGAGAGGCAAGCTGTGCAAGCTGTGAAGGAGGGACACTTGGTTTAGTGTCTGCTTGCAAAGCGAGTGACGAGGACCTGTTCGAGTTATGTCTCCAGGGTAGAGCTTTCATCAGCCTTCCTAGAGTAGCAGCGATCTTCTAGGCATTGTGGGTGACTCCAGGAGAAAAGCTACCCCGGGCCCTGGGCCGTGGCCCACTCCTCCCTGAAGGCTTAACTCGAGTTCTCGCTGAGGAGGCTCCTGAGCGCCTCTGAAACAGCCACAGGAACTGACGCGGCCTTTTGAATGTGAGATAGTCTTTGCTCGCAGGCTGACGGCGACTTTCAGGGCACGTGATGCACGAGCCCATGCCAAAGCTGAGAGCTACAACCTGGGTGTGAGCCCATGGAGCTCTCACAACTCAGCCTTTTCAGCCTTTCCTTCTGTCTCCGCCGTCTCCTTTCGATCCGTTTCCGGTTTCTTCTCTTGCTCCTCACTCGGAGTCTTTGGCGCAGGCTCTTGCGCTTCGGCCGCGCCGGTGTTCGACTCTGAGTCGGAACTTGGCGCTGGATTCGCATCCGAACCGGACATCTCGGTGCTGTTTGGTGTCGCGTCCTCAGGCGGCTGGGACTCCAGCGCGCTGTGCTCGAGCTCGCTGGTCGCGTTCGTCGCATTGCTTGCGTTCGTCGCGTTTTCCTTCTCCTTCTCCTCCTCTTTGTCCTGCTTGTCTTTGACATCCTTCAGCTCTTTCACCTTGCGGTGCGCCTGGGACAAGTTGAGGCATGGTCGAGTGTGCGGTGTCCCAAAGGTCAATGGGTACCCTGTCGCCTGAACGGACTTCATGAGACCGAGGCCCGCATCTTTGATGGCCTTCTCTTTCCTCTCTTTTGCCTCCGAAACACTCGGCCGCAAGTACGTTGGATGCAACGCCGCAAGCCAAAAACAGAAACCGCAAAGCCTTCTGCGCTTCCTCATACTGCTTCTCTAATCTTTTGAAGAGGTCCTGATGTCTGAGGCTTGCCACGCTGCTCGGTGAGTCTCAAACCGAAAACAGAGTACTCCTGAACCTGCTTTTCGGCAGCAGATATCTCTTCATCCTTCTCCTTGATCTTCGTCTTCAGCTCACCTCTAACTCAGACAGGGCCTAGCTTGGCATCGGAAAAAACCTCTCTCCAATGCTTCCATGTTGCTGAGAGACATAGCCATGAACTCCTGCAAAAGTTCGGTCGCTCGTGTCAACTGAGGGCTAGAGGAAAAACAACACCTGGCCATGCAACCATTACAGCCCGGCTGACTATGTGCTTCTCCTCTAGCAGTTTCTGCTGTCGATCGTCGCAGAGATCGCTTCGTTCAGGGCTGCAGGTCGGGCCCAGATTCGCCTTCCACATCGTCTTTCTGGTCACACTTCGCAAAATGCGCTGTGATGGAATGGCAAACTCCAAGCAGCGGTTCCTTGGCGAACTTTTCAAGGGTCTCGAAATCTCTGCCCCCTTTGTACTCCTTGCATGCCATGCGTGTAGAGAAGCTTGGAAGTCAAAGCCCTGCGACATGCAACACTCCTCGAGGTTGGTAGGGCTTCCGTACCTCGGCTGGTTGCAACTTCACCATGCGAAGGGTAACCGGGCAACCCTTTCCTGATCATGTCACTGACCCGCACATCCTGCCAAGCTCTGACAAAACCCTTCGACAGAGACCTGTCTATCCTGACCGATGCTACTCCCTGAACTCTCAGGGCAGAGACGGATCCACGAATAAAAACAAGCCCAGGCGCTTAATGGTGGGGAAGCCCTCAATTCCGACCTCTTCACATTTAGACTTGCCGTCACCGATGCAATCCTCAGTGCAGAGACTCTCGGTAGACCGACATTTCACAGCACAACACGCATCTGAAGGCGAGGGGCCACATCAGCTACCAGGATACTGTCGTGATCTTCATACTCCTGGCCGAATCAAAGATTTCCCGTATGAAGCCCCATAATTTCTTGCACCGGGTGCCTCAACGGCCTGAGCAAAAAGCATTACAAGTCGCCTGCATCAACTTGTCCCACGCAGGCTTCATCTTTTTGCAATGCCCGCACCACGGTGCAAAAAACTTCACGAAGACCGTCTTGCCTGCCGTTTTTTCCTTCAGGCCCGGCAAACATGTATCCAGTAAGCTCTGGAGCTTGTGGTGCTCAGGCGAGTGCTGCAATGGAAGCTGAGCTCTGGACGTCCCAGTCTTTCTTTGTGACTTCTACGGCCCGAGCCAGTGTCGCCAGAAGCGATGCAAATAGAAGGGCATTCATAGCAGTGGGAAGAGTGTGACGTGCAGTCACGCACTGCAGGACACCACCGTTGCAGGTTGGCTGGTTTGACTGCTCGATGCTGGTTGTGCTTCGGAAAGGCTAGTGCGGCTAGTGACTTGTGGCCAAGAAGACCAAAGGAGGGCACGGATAGTTTCCTTCTGGCGTCTGCTGGACTGGTCAGAGATGTGGTCGCTATACCACTGCTATACCATCACGTGCGTGTGCAATGCTGTTGGGGTGGTTCGGGGAGGCGTGCGGGTCTGGAAGCCAATCCCAAGGATTGTGCCACAACGCAGCAGCATGCAGTAAGAGAGACCCGCGAAGAGAACAGCAGCAGTCACAAGACAGCTATACCGTGCATTCCTGCATTCCACCAAGCTAAGGCTGTCCGCCCTGGCCTCGCGGTATACGGCATCGGCCTCACAATCGGCATGCTATTTGCACAATCTTCTGCCGAAGCCATTCTTCGTAACTCGAGCCCACTCAGGCGGAGCAACAAATGCAGCTTCACACGACGCACTAGCATCCCCGTCTCTACAGTCGGCACTGAAGCTGCGCCTCCTCCTCTACTGCGAAGACGACGACTTCTACTACATTCCATGCCGGATCTGCCTCCAGACTCGGGAGAGGCACCACACCCCTGCGTCGACTGCCCTGCCGAGGCCGCTCCTTGGCTTCGACCGAGCGAAGCTAACTTGCACTCGGAGAGGGTTTGTGGCTTTTCGGCTCTTCAAAACGGAACATTCCGACATCGAAGTGCTGTCATGCTGGACCAGGAACATTTGGAGAGACAGTGATAGTGGACTTTGGAAAACAAAACCGGACAGCAATCTACGACGAACTTCTTTTTTTTGCCGGCATTACTTGAATGCTTGGCTGCTCACAGTGGCGAGATGATTCACAAGCCAAATATCACTGATATAAGCCACGCTGAACCCGAAAAAGCCGTGACACAAATGATAGACATGAAACAGAACCCCTGTCTTGCACTGCAACACTCGTGTTACTTTGCAAGTTTGTCTAAAGTCAAAACATGCCCGCAAGCCCAACCCCAAACTCCACCCGCCCTCGTAGCAAATTCTGCTTGTCGGGCCGGCACGTGGCCTGCTTCCCCAACCCCGTAGTCAATTCCGCATTTAATGACAATGTGCCTCTCCTAAGCTTGCCGAGCTTCTCTGCTGACGCTACAAGTATGCTTCCTGTCGCTGCTTGACTGGTGAAAGCAGTGTTTGAGAACGTCCAGAATGGGTTTGAGAGCTGGCTTCACTGCAGTTGTCCAAGCCCGATAGGCTTCGACGACCTCTGACTCAACTCAATGCCGAGAGGCAAGCGACCAGGGCACCGGCTCGCGGAACATCGGCCTGTGTGACTGGCGCACAGTTCGCATTGAATTGGGCCCAACCCTCGACAACAGCAACGTTGGGTTGCCCGTTGCAAACGGCAATCTCCTGTTGATTCGACACGCAGAACTGCCCACACCAGCCCATCATCAAGATGAAAACGGCCTCTATGTCCGCGGCATGGTGCCGGAGCCGTCGGATGCCACCGCTCCCCGCCCGTGGTGGAGACACAGAGCTGGAGCCCAGAATGGAGTGCATTCCCAGCACGGTGACACCTGCACCCTAGTCTTGCGATGATGATTCGACATGGTGCTGTCATGGCGCCTGCGCTAACAGCCGCTAACAACTGTAGGGAACCAAGCAAGACCCGAAAACCAGACTCCAGACGGCCGACACCGATACTCGGCAATTTGCAGACCGCATTGGCGCTAGACTGCCGCGCGCAGGGGAACAGCAAAAGCCTCAAAGGCACATTCAGAACTTCAAGAAGCATTCCCGACAACAAACGAAGCCCGTTTTCATTGGGCGTCTCGCTGGTAGAAAACGTGAGATACTTGAGGCTTCGTAGTTTCGCAGCCCGTACAGGGAAGTCGGAAGAAGCAACGTTCCTCGGGCTACGGCTATGGGCTTCCAGCTCCTGCTTCTTTTGCATTCGCGCTGAGGAGGTACGGATCGCTCCGCTGCTGGCACTGACGTTCTACCTGAGACCTGACGAAAGTCTTGCACCCGTCGCAAGGACTCCTTCTCCAAGCCTTGGCACTGCATCCCTTCGGGAGATAAGCAGCGTTTTGCCTGGGTCCACTCCGCCGCTCCGCGGCCTGGCATCGGAAACGCGCCGCTCCGCCACTTGTGACATTGGCACTCCCGTCCTGGTGAAACTCTGCGGATGCACAAAACCAGGCAACTTATACCGATGGCAACAGACTCTCTCTCGCAAATTGTCGACAGACACTTCGCAACATAGCATCTGCTTCTGCAGACTGCCTTGTTTATGCGGGCCGGAGCTCGCCGCTCGCCTCTACCGTTTAAAACAACTCTACAGCCCAGATATGCCCCACTCCAGGTCGTTCTTGTCACATGGCGTGTCGGGCATGGGCACGGGCTCGAATACCTGCAGCTGATGCCCACACTCCAAGAGAGGGGGCCAGGCAATCTTTCAGCAAGCTGAGACAACTTCAGTCCAGAGCCTTCTGTTCCTGCTGCGCATCCTGACCCCAACGACAATCGAAGCATTGCCACAGCTCATACACCAGGCTCCTCCCCATTCTCGAGGCTGTGGGCGGAAAGCCCTCCAGGCAATTGCGGGACCTGGCAGCGAGATTCTCGTCCACTGACAGGGCGGCTGGCCCCAAGTCCGAACTCTCTGGCCAAGGCACATCGTCGTGTGACAACCACCTCGGCAAATGCACATAGCAGCTTTCTCTGCCACGTGTTGTCATGCAGGGTCCGGGCAGGCTCAGCTCATCAAATTGGATGTCGATGGGTCGGGACAGCTTCCTGCGAGGCGACAGAGCACCGCCACGGCCCCGCACTTTCTGGAATTCGTGTGCCCACGCGGCCTGGCAGCGATCTTTTCGTAGTCCGGCTCTGGCCTTGGAACGGGGAGAAACCATCCGTCTCCGGGTCTAGCCGCGTGGCTGCACTGCATGCAAAGGGTGGAGGGCGCTTCCCGAAAGTTTGAGATGCCGACGGGATCCACGGTGGCTTCATCGTCAATGCCTTGACTTCCTGCTCGCGCGAGGTGAGGCCACGGTTGCTCAACTCAGACAGCAGGCCATTGAGTTCGGATCACTGTCTGCAAACACTACTACCTAGCCGACCTAGCCATGAGCATGTCCCCCGAGTCCTCCCAGTTCAAGCCATCGAATAAAGTCAGAGGCATCAAGTTGCCTCGTTTGCTTGCATCATTAACTTGAAGAACTGCTCCAGACAAAACTACTCTGACATGCCATGCACCCTGGACTTCAACTGACCGATGTGACCGAACCCTGAATCGGCCAGGAGGCTGATGCCACCGCGCTGCATCGTCAGACGATCCTATGAGAAATTGCGCAATGCTCCACATCTGCAGGTTGGAACATGTTGGAACCGAGGCTTGATACGTGCTGCACCGACTTAATGATCTCAACACTGTCTTGGTAGGCCAGTGCGGGAACGGCAAGTGCAAGAGTCACGGAGTGAAAAACACTCCTCCGGCTTCTTCCGGCACAGAGATCGCACACATTCTTCTGCCTTCCAGTTTCTGCTATCTGAAAGGTCTATGCCAGACAGATTGAAGAACAGGCATACTACAACATTTTCACATTGACATGGGCCTCTTTCGGGAAAGCAGGTGGGAACTGCACCTTGCTGAAACCTTGCGCCGATGAGCACTGCTGAGCCATTGCGGTGGGTGTTCGCTTTTCAGGATACAACCTTTAATAATGTTCTTGTAGATCTGCGTCACCTGCCGACATGTTCACGCACTATCCGGTCTTTGTGCGAGTTTGATCGAGCCTCCGGTGCATCGAAGGGGCTGTGGCCGGCCAGCATGATGAACAGCATGACCCCCAGGGCCTCGGCTTCGGTACATTGCGGCTCGCACCAAGCTCTTGTCCTGCTTTGCACCCTCAGCATCCTCAGCCTGCCGCCCACCAATCGGCAGCTCGATTGTGACCTACCTGCCGAGTCGTTGGATTTAGGCTATGCAGCTACGTGCTGTCGCGACAATCTGATCCCGGGCCTGCTTCAGAGTTTCAGGCGCGAAGTAGTCCGCAGTGCCACATACCTTGTTGCCGGCAAGTCATTGCCGCATGAAACAAGGAAGTGTTGCTACAACAACCAAGACACAGTGTAGGTCTTGCCCGTTACCATCCTCAGCCGAAACATGGTGATCACGAAGACACACTTCCTTTACCTTCCTTCAATGGTGCAGGCGAGAGTCTTGGCTATCCCCATGTCCGCCAGCTTAGCATAGCCCTGCAAAGCCGTCTGCCCTTCCTCTGGAAGACTGCTGGCACAAACACCCCCCACCTGCGAGTTAACCAAGCAATTCTCCAGCTTCAAATCACGCCAAACGATGTGCCTGCCGTGCCCAAGTGGACATGTCGTCGCAGGCGGGCACTGCGGTCACACGCGACCAGACTAGTGCAAGAGAACTATTAACTAGTGCCGTCGCATTCTGCCCGGAAGCTTCTCCAAATCTCGCCGGGCTCGCTTGGAGTGAATGTGCGAGAGGCCCAGGGCTACACAGGCGATGTAGAACTGTGCTGTATCCTCAGCACTTAGGAATTGACGCCGCGCCGTGGAGCTCCTCCCAGCTTTTCAGCACTCACACTCGGACAAGCCTTGGCGAGGTTCCCTGGTCCCACGACAGGCACATGTGGCCCAAGCCATCATACATTGACGACAGCAAACATTATCCGCGCTACGATCAACCTCAACCTGCATCCTGCAGCTATTCGCATCATCCTCAAACTGTGAACTCATCAACACAGAAATCACGGCATCCTCAGTCCAGTTGGCCCCACTGGCAAAATGCCATACATGCAGCAACACATGCACACAAATTCCCAATCCATTCATGCTCGTTGGACGCCCAAATGTCCAGACCGTTGCCACTTGCTGATGAGGGCTCGACAGCTTCATGCAGTTGCACATGCATTCAAATTCTCAAATTCCGTTCATGCGCGTTGTACGTCTAAGCGTCCAGACTGGTACGTTCCTCTGGTTGTAGGCTCGACAGCGATGCAAGGAAAAACGGCCCAGCATCGGCACTCCAGTCAGTAGACACCACAGGGCAGAGGCCCTTCACGCTGTATCGTATGCATCCAAATTCAATGCATCACCCAGATTGCTGCAGTCAGTTTGGTGTAAGCCGTGGTATGCAGAAAGCATAGCCCAAATTCCATGCATGCACAACGAAGGCTCTGTGCTTCCAGACTCGCGTTCAGTGGAGCATGTATTCGGCTGCCAGACATACATCAGTGCAGCATAACAGACTCCATCATCTCGGCCGGGCATCTCCCAAGAATACGTTTTGCGTCCGCGGTGTCAGCTATGGGACATACATCAGGGGCAGCATAACCAGAACAGCCCATCATTGGTCTCTCCGTGGGGAATCCAAGGAGACACACAATAATGAGTGGCATCAAAGCAGTCCCAGTGGTCAGAGCAGTCGTCTAGTCGTCGCGCCAGGGGCCGAAACAGCATTTAGAGCGTGGCATCGTCTGCCATCACAAGCCAGCCAGGACCCAGAGGTGCGAGCAGAAAACTGGCAGTTGTGAGCCATGGCAGAAGCGCCGCGGGCTAGGGCTACCTAGACCCCGAATAGGGAGGGTTGGAGGAGAACCCACAACACGAACGAGAACGCGGGAATGACGGGGCCGGAAAGACCCTCCAAACCCCTGCTTTGGCGTGGTTCCCGGCAGCACTGCCCTGTTTGTGCCCGTCCCCCGATCGCGGTGGTGATGCGGAGCATGAAGATCCTGTCAGGCTTCAGTGTGTTTGTAGGGCAACGGGAGTAGCAGTGGGCTCGCTTCTGGTTCGGCAACAATGCCACTCAGAAACGACAAGACGCTTGGCTTGGAGCTAAGGAACAGCAGGGCATATGACAGTGCAGGCATGTATTGACACTAGAGGGGAGGGTATGGCTATGTACGCTGCAACAAGACGCTGGGGCTATGGTGTAACAAGACTCCATGACCTAGGGAGGAAGGGAGCGGGGGGGGGGGGGGGGGAAAGGGGGGGAGAGGGCAAAGGGAGAGGGGTGGTTGTGGGTTTGTGTGGGGTCGTCCAAGAAGACACTCGAAGCGGCATTTCTTCTGCTTGGCTGTGGATGCTCGGTACTGTTGCAAAAGACGACCTATGATCATTCCCAAATTCGCAGGCTTAAATTCATATTCTTGAATTCAATGCAGGCATGCTGAAAATTCGATGCACCAAATTCGGGTCTTCACGACACTTGCAGTTTGCATGAAATTCAGGGGCCAGGCGCATGAAAAACATCGCTCTCGCCTCCTACTGTACGAGCATGCATCATCACAGTCGTCGGATGTGCTGCTGAGGGGCCATCGACACATGGAAAACAGGAACATAGAGGCCACAAAGAAGTAGCAAAACAGTGCAACATAGAAAGGATCTCCAGGCCCTCAAGAGCAGCGAGACATTTACAATACATGTGCTCCTAGCATCTGTGCAAGAACCGACCTCGGGATGAAAATGACCTTCCCATCCGGGAGCGTGATCGGGCACAAATATCCCTGCCCTTGGCGGCTCACCATTGGGAGGGACTCGTCCAGGTTCAGCATCGTGGGCCCTGGTCCACCCGCAGTCGCTGCCGCCGGAGCCGGAGGCGGTGGGGCGGCGGGTCCTGGTCCTGAAGCTGTGGCCGGGTCTGCAGTGGGAGAGCGTGCCGTTGGCTCCGCATTCATAGCTTCGATCTCCTTCTGAAGGACTTCCAGCTGTTCCTTGACCGCCTCAAGAAGCCCCCTCAGAAAATTGAGTTTATCTGGCAAGTGTTCGCTGTCCCCCTGAATTCTATCCAGGGATTGCTGAGCCCATCGCACTTGTCCACTGAGCTCCTTGATCTGCTTGCTCAAGGCGTAGGAGATGCCTGAGAGGTCTTTCTGGAGCTGCTCGAACCTCCCGTTCATGCCCGTGGAGAAACTCTCTTGGTTTCGTTGTAGCGGAGTGAGGAATCGTTGAAGGTCCGCATAGTCCTTCACCATCTTCTTGGCCACCGCATCCAAAGCTGTAGAGGTGTTGAGCTTGGCCTCCTCGAGGGCAGCCGAGATGGCACTGAGAGCATCTGTGATGCTTTTGTGTTCACTGCCCGCCAGTTTCGACCCAGCAGAGGAAAAGGCTTGCTTGAGGTCGTCCTTGGCACGCTGGATGGTTCTCTGAAGCTCCAGCTGGTGGCTTGCAAGGGTATTCCCCAAATTCGCGTGCATGGCATGGATTGTGTTGGCCACCTCGCCAACTTTCATGACTTTGTTCATGATGGCTTGCAGACGATTGCGGCCGTCCTCGAATCCATCATTGAGCATGCGAGTCAGGGAATCGTCCACGTCAAGCAGGCCCATGGCCCGTTGAAGGGCGTCCGCGCCAGCACTGCGGGTGGCATAGCCTTCAGCATGAACCAGCGCTTGCAGTTGTTGCACGGCCCGGACCAAATCGTCCAAACGTTGCTGGACCCCCGCACGTCGCATGCAGGGGAAAAGGGCCCACCCCCAGTAGTGGCCAAGGAAGAAGAGACCAGCCAACAAGGCTCCCATCAGACCCGTGAGGAGCATGCACCATACTCCGGTGAGATCCGGCCCATCCTCGCCTCCCTCGGGAAAGCGGTGTTGAGCCTGGTACAAGGCAACAGACATGGCGCCTCAGCACGGGAGTCTAGCTGTAGCCTTCAGTTTACTGGGCGCGTCAGCCAAAGGAGCTGCGCAAGCATGCGGCGTTAGAGCTGGCAGGAGGGGGATGCTTGAAGCAGCATGCGTCCTAGTATCTTTATGTGGCAGAAGCGGCTACCCAGAAGTACCCCAAAAGGCCCTCGTCACAAGCATCACGTCCAAGAACCCAAAGAAAACCCTGAAAACCCTGCCCAAAGTACGCGCCTCGTCGATCATGTAATCGAGCCCAGCGGCCCCCAAGCAGCCAAGGCTCAGGCTAGAGACAGGAACAGGAAGCAGTGCTAGGACGGGCAGTGGATACCAAGTGTTGGGCAGAAAATGCTGGTCCCGAGGGTCAAAGGTATCACCTACATCGTCTTCCAAACATCGCATCATCCCCTATGCGCTGGCAAGCTCGCGGCGGCACATGCTTTTACTCGGCTGCACACGCACAACTGCAAATTCCAACATGCTACATGGCTACAAATTCGGAAATCAGTAAATTCAAGGAATTCTCCAGCAGGCGCGAAGAGTGCGTGTGAAGGCTACACCAAAAGAACGAAGACCCGAGCTAACAAGAACCAAAAGCAAACACAACAAAGCACTCTCGTCCATTGCCTATGCTGAATTCGAATGTATCACAGCAGCTGCAGTTCAGTACCAGTAGGAACGGCAAGTCGGACGATGGGCAGCGCTGAAGACGAGGCACTCCCGTCCACATTCATCCCTTCGAGCGATTGTTGTATCTCGCGCAGAGCATCCAAGACATCGTGCAGCTGCCCTCGCACGTGGCCAACATGCTGTATTCCCGCGAGACCAGACACCCGAGAATGGAGTTCCTGAACAAGGGCATGAGTATTGTCCACTGCCCCCAGTCTGGATCGTAGTTGCAGGCCATGGTACAGAGAGTCCAGGGCTTCACCATGTCTTCGTCGGAGTTCAGCAACGTCGCCCCGAGTCTGGTTCAGGAGGTCATGCATCTGTCTTTGCTCTCCAAGGAGCTGCAGCAAAACAGCTTCGTGGGCACGCATTGAATTCATACTCAGTCGGAACATGCAGTACACCGAGTACATCGCTGCCAAGCATAGCCCAAAGGCCACGGCGCAGGCCAGCTGGAAAATCATGGATGGTGACCAAACCTCTACAGCGGTCAGTATCAGAGCCTAGAGCTGCACAGAACTAGCGGATTACCCACTACATGCAGAGGCAAAAACCCGTGAGGGAAATAAAAAGGAGCAGCCAGAGCACCCAAACTCCGAAACACCGAAATAAGAACAAAAAGAGCACAAAGATTACTCCGGATCGGAAATAACACAATCCCAGTAGTCGGGCTCTGGACTGGCTGCTCCCATGCACATGCTGATGACATCCGACTCCGTATCAGACGGTATCGGTATCGTTGCTGGACAGGAATCCTCCAGGTCGATCGTCACAGGAGGGTGGTGTAACAAGGTGCCCCGCGGCCACACCAGTCTAGGCTCAAGCCTCAGTTGCCTCGTAACCGTGGCCCCCCAAATCTCGTGTCGAAAGCGATCCTCTTCGTGAGCAGTAGGAGGCCGAAAACCAAAAGAGCAGAGCCGGCAGTACAAATCGTCCGAGAGGTTGCACGTACTGGCAGCCGTGCTATAGGCCGACAACACAACCCGGTCTCCTGTCCAGGCACACGTAGCATGAGTAATTGGAAGGGAGTGGTGACGTCAATCTTGATCCCCCTCCGGAAGACACCACCACACAACATCCTTGTATCCCCCAAGTCATGAGCCAGCCACAGCTCGCCACCGCTGTAGCCCTGTGTCAGAGCCAGAAGGACCCCTGGGACCTCAGAGTTGTGGCAGTCCGTATGGGGCGGTGTCATGACATTGTCCAGCACTGTTATCGTGGTAAAAGCTGTATCCGGCGACCAGTGGCGGACAAGCCTCGTCATGAGTCTGGTGGTCAGCGGATACCTCCTACCAGAGGACCGCATCCCAGATCTGGCTCGTTGGAAGCTTCCAAAGGTCAGCACGTAGCCACCTTGTTTGCGAGTCCACTCCGCCTTGGGGATCAGCCGCAGGACGTCAAGGGCCTGAGTCTTGGTGACAAAATCCCCTGCTTCCAGCAACTGCAGAGCGCGGATCTCCGCGTCAAGGCGGGGGCGCTTGGGTGCCATTTCCGTCCCGTCCTGCCCCCCCCCTGTGGGTGAGCGAGCACGGAAGTGAGGACCGGAAAGGATCCCACAGGCTACGCTTGTGCCAGAGGCTACATTGAGGTTGGGCTACAGCAACTGGGGTCGCAGCAACACCAGCAGCGCTGACCGCAACTCCGAAAAGTACTGAGCCCTGTGGAAGTCGGCCGTGCGAAACAGAAAATCCCATCCCTCCGGAAGCACTGAAGGCTCAAATCCTAGTTGTACCGCCCACCTGTTCGGTAGTCGCTTGGGTGTCAACGCCGTTCGTGACAGCAAATCCACCTCCTCTGAAACCCTATTGAACTTTGCAGAATCAGCATCTCTCGCATCCGCTGTACCTTCAAGGACGTGTTTCTGGAGGAGGTGAGGGGGAAGGACAACGCCCGCCTGTTGCAGAGGGCTGGTAACATCATGCAGCCGAAGGAGCTCGCAAAGAGCGAGCAGCACTGGCACGACTACCACCCCTCCGTCTCCAGTCGATTGAAGGCGTATGTGCAAAACCGTGGTATCATGTACTTTCACCTTGGCACGAAAACAGTAGACACATGCGACGAGACTGCCCGGCACATGCGTCACCCAGAAGGTGACCGCTGTTCTGTTATCAGCACGCCATGGTTTGAGATGGATTAGCCCGGAACGATACAGACCCTCCAGTGCATCACGTCGTCTGCGTAGAGCAGAGATTCCCTTATCTACCACGACAAGCTGGCGACCAGCTACATACTCCGTCGTCAGGGGATGGACAGGCGACGCATGCCAATAGTGCAGCCATCGCGGCAGCATAGCCAGCCAGGCCGTGCGGTCTGTTGCCTGCCATTCCCAATGAGGCATCTCTCCTTGCATTTGCAATTGCTGATAAACCAAGCGAAACTTGTGAAAAGGCGTCTCCGAAAGCCAGGACGGCCGAAGCTGTCCCGTGGAGAGTCGGTGACTCCCCATGGTCCTGAGCATGCGGCGTAAGGGCGTGTCCTCCGTGGACCGGGCAAGGTGACCGAAATAGGTCCAAATACGTGTCAACCAGGCCACCTGCCACTGCGGTCCTCGAAAGCACTGGCAGTACACACTGAGTGCTCTACGACATCCTTGCACGTTTTCCAACCAAGTGCTGAAAGGATCTCTTCCGAAGCGAAAAACCCCCAGAAGCAAGGAATTCTTAAGCCCTTCTATGCTCTTCAGCGCGCGCACCGTAGGCCAAACGACCGAACTGCACCATTGCCATTTCGAGCTGATGTACGAGTCAAAGAGAACACTCTTAACCCTGTGCGGAGTCGAGGGCTTGTCCAAGATCTTCTTCATTGCAAAGAAAGAATTTGTCATCTTTCTGAGCGGGTGCATGAGGACCATGTCGGGGGCATTAGTGTGTGCAAGAGGTACCCCAAGGAACATCAAGCGGTCCTTGCCCTGCAGAGGGGTGCAAGAGCCCCGGAGCCAGACCCCCGGCGTCGATCCTTCAATATTAAGCACGCTGCACTTGGCAGGGTTGACAAAGAGCCCTACCGCCGCCAACGTGTCCGTCAGGTCCCTGAGTTTGACCTGAAGTTCCCTAGCATCCATCGCAAAAAGCATGACATCATCAGCATATAGCAGGAAATGTGGGAGCTCTATTGCATCCGCCCAGCGGGGAAACTCGGTATTCCACCGAGCCTGGAGCCCCCGCAAATGGAAATCTATAGCTCGAGCGAAGAGATCAGCTGAATAGCTGCTGCCTTGCATGATCCCTTGGCGGACCTCGGTACGCCAAGTCTCAGTTCCCAAACTCATTAGCAAACGATTTTGGGAGCACAGACGCCATAGCAGGAGGATCTCGGGACAAACCTCACAGTGCATGAAGAAGTGCACGATCGAAGAATGGGAAAGACTGTCGAAAGCCGCCCTAATATCTAGCTTGGCCACATGTGCTTCCACCTGGTGCTTTCTGCGTAAGACTCCTATTACTGTCTGCGCCGCGAGGATGCCGTCTACCGTCTGAGTTTTTCGTCTGCACCCCATTTGCCCACTTTGGTAGGGCGGGCATTTAGGCGCAACTCTCCCCATCAGTAGCCTGCCAAAGATCTTAGACAAGCACGGAGAGAGACAGATCGGGCGCAGGTCAGCAGGATTGGAGGGTTGGGGCGTTTTGGGCAGGAGCACTACCTTGGCCTCGTACCAGTTCTCGGGAAGAGGCTGTTGCCCAAAGAGCAAACGATTCATGAAGCGGAGAAGCTTGCCCGTTTTGTCGCATCTATGATAGGTCCGGATTGCCTCATAGCACACTCCGTCCAGGCCAGCGCTTGTGCGTGGCTTGCATTTGGCGATGGCCAGGCCTAAGTCATCCTTAGTAAAGGGCTGCGGTCTAACGGAGGAATGTGTAGCAATCATCCGATGGATCGCCTCCTCGGTGGGAGGCGGGAGGAGGGAAGCGTATTTGCGGTCATAGAACTGCCGGAGTTCCAAGCTGGCCGCTTGTTGCCCCCCTCTTTGCTCAATGTAGCTGGTTTCAAACGAAGCATGCGCGGCACTCTTTCGGAGGTACGTGATAGCCTGCCTATCCCCTTCCCTGGCTCGCTGCAGAATGTTCAACTGGTGTTCGTGCCGATCGTTGGTTCGGCGTGCCCGTATTTCGGACAACATGCTCGCTCTCGTGTGAGGGTCCTGGCAGGCACGTCTGGTTGCAATAAGGGCCTTAAGGTCCGAAGAGTCCTGGTATCGAAGGGAAGGAACTCGCTCGGCTTTTAAACACAACTCAGACATGCGAGAGGGACCAAACTCCATGTCCGAGGCCGCATAGCTCTCCAGCTCCGGAATGCTGGGCAGCCACCGGCCACACCTGGTGGTGGGGCGTGTGCCTCTGTGGAGCAGCGGCATCGGGGTGCAAATTCTCAGAAAGACGGGGCAGTGGTCCGAGGGGAGCGCCAGTCGCATGTCATCCCGCTTGTGAGCATACGTGAGACTTCTAGGGACACGAGCCAGGACAGCGTCGATTTCGCTAGCAGCCCCACGGGCCGTCCAAGTGATGCCCACGGAACGATGCAACGAGAGGCTATGTTTCTGAAGCAGAGCCCTCAGAAGCCCCATTCCCGAAAAGGTGTCCGAGCTGGCATGAAGGTCCTGGTTGAAATCACCGCCGACGATGACCATGGCCTCGCCACCTGTATCCTGCAGTTGAGAATCCAGTAGCTCCAAGGTGTCCTTCCAAACCTCCTCTGCAGAAGATCGTGGTTTAGCTTCGGTGCTGACCCGTTTACTGTGGGGCCCCCCAGCTTTAGGGGTCTGACTGTCCGCCCCCAGAGATCGTACTCGTTGTAGAGGTCGAAGAGCTCGCCACCTGCATGGACCACCGGGCGCAACGTCGGTAAAACTGAGAAGGGCTGCATCTTCCACGGGCGTGCCTAAAGCGACCTCCAACAGGAAGAATACCTTGACTTAACGTTGTGGTGCGCAACTTCAGGATTGAAAAATTGCATCTGAGCTTTTACTGCGGCGAACCTGAAATACATCCTGGCTTTTCGTGCAGGCACGAAGGCTACGAAATGCGATGTCTGAACGACTTATGCCCCTTTCCAGAAAACGGTGCCCAGCTGCGAACTTGCTGTCGTGATAGCACCCATGCAACTGGATGATAAAGGGGCTGTCCTGCCATCAGCACCCAACACATTCCAAGATTGTCCACTTTACGTCGCCAGAACTGTGCGTGGACAAGTGACAACACGAGGAGGCTTTCCAGCATCGACAATATGTTGCGCTCGTTCTTCAACATACCTTCTTGCTTCTCCTGTCCATGTGCGGAGTGCTCTCATGCCCACACTCAACTACCAAGCCGCAGTAGTCACAAGATGTCAACAGAGACCATTGCCACAACCATGCACGATGTACGATAACTTAAATTTTCATCGGCGTGCCATCGTACCATCCGCAAGCTAACAAGCACGAGACGGTACCTATGACCTATGCGCCTCGCAGCCCAGCTCGCGGCACACAACATCGTAGAGACATGGTAATGATCGAATACATCTTCATGACGCCTCGAGGCGCACAGAATCGTGGGTGAGACATGCGCTTCGCGCATGGTTTGATCGCTTCGGATCAGAAACCAGTCTCGTTCACGAGTTAAGGGAAAATCGGCATGGTTTGTTGACTGTGGCCTGGGGATGCCGGGGCTTCGGTTGGTTGCGTCGACTGCAGTTGCTTATTCCTATTCTGACCTAGAGAATGCCGGAGTACCCATTCTCCGTCACTGTTCTGCTCGGACAGGAAGCGTCGAGACTTTCTCCTGAAAGCGATTACTCAATGGAGCAAGAGCGGAGTGACCGACCCGACAACATCCACAGCCTGGATGAGCTGCATGATATCAGTCATCCTGGCCCGACTGTCATGTCAAATCTCTCGTCAACGTGGCAGAAGTTCGCACGCGACTTTGTGATCTTGACTTCCTTCAACGTCTGACCTCGCCAAATGGATCCCGCCTCTCCGGCAATTGCTCTCCGTCCACGGAAACCAAGTGCCAGCCCTTCTGAACACCCAGTCCTCAGCAACAAGAAGTAAGCTAGACCACTGGGAATCCCGCAGCATCTTTCCGGACAGGCGACGTTCGCTGTACGACTCTGGCCGACAGCCCTTGACCCGCACCGGCACCTGGTAGCAGGACCGCAGAAAGCCACACAACGTTATGAAGCCTGCCTTCCTCTCCGGGCTTCCGGCTGATTTGGTGAACATCACGCCCCAGGGCTGGTGCTGAAAGGTCACGTCGACGAGCTGTCAAGAAAAAGGACAGCTCCAAAGGCCTGCCGGGCCTGCAGAAAATCTTGCTTCCGAGCCTTCAGCTCGTCGGGAGGGGTGAAGGTCAAAACGACCTTCAGCCCCATGGCTGACGAAACCCCAGCACAGGAACATCGACCATCAAGCTGGGCATCAAAAGAGAGACTAAGGTCGACGCTTGACTGGCTTTGGGCTCCTGGAGTGGCAGAGCCGGCGGGAGAAGTGAAGTGTTTCAACGTCTCTTCCAGCCGCTCCTCGGCGAGCTCGCCGGCCCGAGCTTGCATAAGAGACATCCTCACTGCGCGAGCAGGGCTGCAGACGTTCTTTCTGTGGCGATGATGGGACTACGTGAATGCACTTTATGTGCTTGTTGATACTTGCTGCAGCGGGCACCCTGATGCCACCGAAATGGCTCTGTAAGTGTGCCTACTTACTTTGGGGATTGCTGCCCAGGCTTATGTGTTCGTTTAAGCTTACACGTCTTGCACTTCAGATTTTGGAGATGATGTGCTTCAGACTATCTCCAACTATACGGGGCCACCCCACACAATTAAGCACACTGTGTCAAATTATGCTATGCCAAGCTAAAACTGATGCTATCTATTGAATCTATTTCCCCCTCTGCCGTGCCATTCCCGGGCTGGAATATCAGGAGGCATAGCACGAACGCAGAACCTCCGGCATTGCTGTAGCGTGTCACACTGTATTCAGATGTGTCGTAGATACTGTGCTAGCTTCGAGCATGTGACCTGCAATGTACTACGCCTATGCACTACGTTTGGAGCGGCCTGAAACCGGAAAAGACCGGAACAGCTGCTTTCTGTAGCAGCGAAAGCGCCACCCACCCACCCACCCACCCTGTGATGAAAAGCAAGAGGCACAAGTTCTGCACCGACTGTACACAGCGTGACAAAAATTAGCCGGGCGAACCAGCTCTACTTTGTGCTATACTGCTATGCCGCGCATCACTACCTTTGACGCTCCTGTGACATTTGCAATAACTACAACCCCTAGTTGCCCGTCATACGAGCACGACTGCTTCGGGTGCCAACTTGCCGGGTCGCAAGTCTGCTGGTGCCCGCAGTCCATCAACGGCGCGTACCACCTGGGAAGCTGGAAGCGTCTCATGGGATCTTTGGCTCCTCTCACGTCAATTCGGAAGCCCGTGGCGGAGAGATTCTCACGAGACCATCTGCATTCAAAGGCACCCAGTTTACCCTAACCAAAGCCTTCTCTGCTGCAGTGTTCTTCCGAACACGCTGCACGACGATCGGCTCCTAAGATGTCGCTTCTGTCATGGAAAGCCTCAGGTCCTCGTTTGGCTGCAATGTACAGGGCGCTATAAATTAATTGCGGGCTCTGGCGCTGTGCCACTACATTCAAGGCCGATCGGTCTGTGGTAGAACTCCACGTCCTGCACAAGAGCAGACGGTTCATGTTAGGGCTGGTCACATGTACACAGGCCTTTTCGGTCCCATCACGCCGTTCGAATGTGATGACCATCTTCTTCTGTGAAATCCTTGGACATTCGGAGGTTTGTCGCAAGAAAGGCAAAAACATCCTGAAACAGTACAGGGACTTGGCGTCCAGTGGCACCACTCACATGCACGGACCGAGGAATCATCTGCCAAGCTGTGGCCCTTCGTGGGTCGACTTAGACCATTGTCATCCTTGTATAAGCTTTCGTCGGCGTGGACTGGTGTGGAGGTTTGCAACAGGTACCCTTTCAGGGGTTCCAAGGATGCGGGATGGGCCAACCGCGAACAAACTGCACGAATCTACACTCAGGAAATTAAAGGCAGCCTATGGCAGCCTCGTGTGCCTTCCTCGGGGCCGACAGTGCCGCAAATACTGCAAACTCAGGCTGCCGCTTCGGCCTATCCAGCGGCTGGATCTCCTAGGCTTCCGAGAGCCATTTGCCATGCGGGAACCACGCGGAAACGAGTCTGACGTGCCCGAGGCTCATCAGAACCAACCGCCGTCACGGCTTCCACGGGAAGCCCGCTCTCGCTCTGCAGAGATCAGATCGGGCATGGAAGCAACATGCATGTTAGTAGGATTTCACAACAAGCATCTCAATATGAGTACTGCTTCCCAGACTGCAGCACCGAGACATGACCCTGCCTCGCAACAGCACCTTATCATGCCTGGGGGTCCAGGCGTCCCCTGGCAGGGCCTCATTTCGTATCCCATCCAGTCGACGAGCAAGAATGCTTCAGGCTTGCACTAAAAACGACACGAAGCGACTTGAAGCCCAGCACTATGCGCTGTGCAGTCGAGACGCCTTTGGCCCAATGCCAGTGGCTTACTACTTGGGCCAAGAAAGCGTCGGATCACTGATGTGCACATGAGCTCTCATTTCGGAGGGACGACGGATTCTAGTGCACCTGTACTGCAAGGTCCAAAGGCCGTCCGGAGGGCGCATAACACATCCAGCCTCCTCAAGATGCTGCTTGTTCAAACCCTTCAGGGCCTCACTGTGATCTTGTCAACTTGAAAAGCACATGGAAGGGGATCGATTCAGGCCTCAAGAGAATAACCGATGCAAGAGTAAGAACCTGGCATATTCTGCGCGCGTTTCCTGGGGAGCTCTTTCAACTAGCGGACACGGCCATGCTCGCTGCTTTGAATAGTGCCTGTGCCTTCCGGCTTCATTACATTGCGATCGCCAACAAGAGAGCAGAGTCTACTTCTTACCAGAGCTACATGTGGCAGCCTGGCCCGTACTGACATCGAGAACACAGCTGTTGAGGCATCTGCCGAAGAATGTCTTGGGGCTCGACCTTGTTTCTCAGCAGCAGGACCAAGCCGAAGTTGCCCTCTCCGAGGGCTCCGACCTGGGAGTCGGCTGAAGCTGCATTTGGGTTTCATGACGAAGCGGCCTCATGACGATATCTACACATGTCTAAACCAACTCGTCATTCGCCACTTGGAATACTTCTTGATGGCAACGATGAGATCGTGGCAGTCTCGAAGTCCTGCAGTTAGCCGCAAAGCTTTCCACCGCGCAGCTTCGGCACCGTCTAGCGTTAAGAGTTCCGATAGCTGGCAACCTTTGACCCTGCAAAAAACATTGTTCGACGGTTTACACGCAAAAGCAGATCGAAAGAATAAAGAGCATTAAAAGAGCAGCCAATTTAGATGCCAAGCTTGTACGCGGATACCATCATAAAATCAGAACAGGACTGAGGCGTTTCGAATACAATTCACTTAGGTGGCGGTGCGACTAATCACCAACATCTGCATTATCGCATGGTTTTTGGTGCTGCTTGTGGCCACATGTCAGTAGCCCAGTGGTTGCAGATCCGTGTTGAAATTGGCAACTCGGGCATGTGCATACGTAGATGCCGACATACCTACATACATACATACATACATAAGTACATACATACTTACTTCTGTTTATACTTGCTTACATATTTACATACATACCCACATACATACGCACATACACATATGGGTGGTTGTCAAAATTCCAAACCATGTCGTGTTAAGAATAGAACTTAAGTAGGGTTCCCCCCCAAGGGACCCCGATTTTGACAGTTCCCTTCGTAATTTACACTTAATATTTTTATTAGTCTTGATATTGTTAGTATTCCTATTCTTATTATTCTTCTTATTATGACTTTTTGTTTTTCTTGGATGTTCCTTTCTGCTCTTGTCGAGAGAAGAAACAGCCAGGGCCTGCCTCAAAAGCTCCCAACTCGCCGGAAAGCAAAAATCAAAAAGAAATGTGATAATAAGGATAATAGTAGAAAAACATAAGGGCAAGAATAATAAAAGTAGCAACTTGACAATAATAGTAATGATAGTAATCATAATAATTTGTTTGCCTCCTGCATGGCTGCGAGTCACCAAAAATACGTAATACTAGTAATTAAAACAGAACAAGCGCAACGCCTCAAACAAAGCCAAAAAAGCACACAAAGAGCAAGGAAAAAGCAGAAACAAGGTGTAAGAACAACCAGAGCACCGGTCAGCAACAGGGCAAAACAGAAGCAACTGGAAAAAGCAACGCACAAGCATACAGCAGCGATAACCCACGATACTCATACCCCGTGCAACCAATCAACCATGTCCCGACCTAGAGACCCCGCACCCCTCCCAACCAGGCCCGCCCCGCCAGCCCGCACAAGCCCGCTGAGTGGTTGGGGGGTGATTGCTCATGTTTTGCAAGGCGTGGGCTGTGATTGGCCGGCTGGCTGCCACTTGTGGCTTGTGGTTGGGCATTGACCGAGATGCAACAGTTCCTGGCATGTAATCAACAAATCTGAATCCAGCGCGCGTGACCTGAAGGCCACTAGCTATGGCTTTGCATTGACCACGCAACCGCCTCGCTTTGGAGTGTGTCCACTACATCGTCTCAATCTGAAGGCAGGCTCTTTGCTAGAAAAACTCTTGCTGCATGTTTGTACTCTGCAACCTGCAATAGGGGTTACCTTGCCCTCTTGTCTAGCGATAAAGAAGACTTTCAACTGCCTGCAACATCCATCTCATCTGTCCTGCAGCTGCATTAGCCGAATGCCTCGTTCACTCACTGTAGATGGGCGCCTCGGTGTCAAACCATGCTGGCTCAAGTGCAGCTGCCTGCTGGAGGTCGCGGACCTACTGCACTTGCTTTCGACAGCTGGGCGCCACCGCCTTCCGGACGCGCTGGTACGTCTCTTCTTCAGCCAGTTGCTGACTTCCTGCGTGTCACATTGCAATGAGATGAGGAAGAACACCCTGAGCCCTGAAACTGCTACAAGCTCCTGCGCACTGCCTCTTGACTCCCTCACCTGCTGCAGGATAGTGTGGTCCTGCGAACCATATGTATTAAGTTGCAGGAGCACAGAGGTGTTCATAAAGTAACATAAAAATACCATAAAGTGGAAGCTGGCAGTGAGTTCTCAAACAACAAGTGGCGGCAACATGGTTCCCGGACTTGCAGCAAACGTCCTGGGAAGCTTGCTTGACCTTGTTACGCTGTGTGCATCATGCACACGCTGATCATCCAACAGAGTCAAGCCAAGAACATGCCAATAAAGTGGCGTGCGCCCAAGACGACTTGCAAGCAATCAGTCTTCAGCAGGTGCTTTCTCCGGTTCTTTGCGAAGTCTCTCAGGTGTTCGTAGAACGCCTGAAATAGTCTAACTGGCAGCATTCACTGCAGATGCGGGCGCGGGGGCAGTGCGGCCCCAGCAGGAAGTCGTTTCAGACCTGCTTCTTGAGCTCCGACACGAAATCCTTCCAAGCGGATCCGCAAGTGCAGCCCAGCAGATCTGACTCCGGAATGAATGTGGCAATTCTGAATTTTTGTTTCTCGGCGTTAGGATTGCAGTTTTGCCAGCAGGCCACTCGAACCACATCATCCATGTATCGGAGGGATTCAAGAGCACGGCCACCAGGCTTCCCCCAAATACTGGCGGGATTCAGAACCACGCTCAAAGCGCTTCACCCAGCTGTTGGGGAATCCAGACGGCCAAAATGCTTTCCCCCACGTCCCTAAGCGAATTCGAGAAAGCAGCTAAAATGCGTTCCTGCAAGTGCTGGCGCATAAGAGTGGGGGCGTTTGCAGCCCCCACATTTGCGAACTACATGCGGGCCAAGTTTTGCCAAGAATTGTAAGGTTTCGTGCGCATTTCCTTGTTGCATTACTTAAATGAGCGGGGAGGTTGGGTGAGGTTGGGCGCTGCCCAGCCAAGTAAGTTTCTGGAAGCATTTCGTGGATTCGACTGCTGCTTGATGGAAGATAATGGGTGCGACGGCTTTTGAATACAAGACTTTTTCGGCTTTTATACGCAATCTAGGGGTGTCCAAAAATTTTGACGGAGGAGTTCGTACGATTTTAATGGGATTGACCGAGATGTTAATTGGTTTCCAATGGATGTGATGGAAATTAATGGATTTGGTGGCTTTAAAAATACAGGCGTAATAGGATTTAATGGCTGTTCATGGCGCTTGATGGACTTCAATGGGTTTGTGATGGCTCTTGTGTAAAAATCTGTGTTTGTGAGGGAATTCAAGAGGTTGTTACTGCTTCTGAACAAAATCTTATTGGGGCTGCACTTGCCTGTCTGGGCGTCCATTGATGTTGATGGACTTCAATTTTTGTCACCCACCTGTCCCACCTATGACAGCTCCGCGGGGTCTCAAGAGTTAACTAGTCACAACCTTAGTAGGAGACTTTCGGGGGTTCTGCTGCTTTCCGAATGCAGTTCTGGTAAGATTTCAACTGGATGTTTGTAGCCTTCTGGTAAGTTCCCACTGCTTTTGATGGAATTCAACGGATTATGTTGGATTTTGACAGAAGTTCAATATGATTTCAGTGGAGTTTCCACGGATTTCGTTTCCCACTCTCACGCAAGCACGGAGTTTCCACGCATTTCCAATCGCTTTGATGAGATTTTCGATGGCTGGTGAATACAACCTAAATGAGGAAGTTGTGCCATGGTCGGGGATTCCCAGATCTCTTGATAGAGTTCAATCGATGTTGACGGTTTGTGCATGCCGTCTTGATTAAATTTTAATCGGATCTTAGGGCGAGGGTCAAATTGCTTGGTGCTTCTTGTTGCTTACGCCCGCTCCTTCGTTACTTGTTCCTTTCTTTGCGTCTCTTGTTCTTTCTGTCTTCTGTCTTTCTTCATTCCTTCCTTTCTTTCCGGCTTCTGCGTTCCTTCCTGCCCTCGTTCTTTCCTTCTTCCTCTCTTCTTTACAAATTCTCGGTACATGCCCGGCCCCACTCTTCTCTCCTGCAACCCCCCCCCCCCCTCGGCAAAAAAAATAACGAATTCTCAACACAAGTACAAATAATAGAGCAGTGTACAAACCGAATTCTCGCGGCAAGTACACTCCCAGCCAGCCTCTGCGAGAATTCTGGCGACTTCCTCAGCTCATCTTTGGACACCTACGGGTCTGACCCTCCAGTTCCTGCTATGTGCTTGCAGCTGCTGCGAGTAACCGATCGGGACAAGCGACACCTGCTGTATGCCAAGCATCGGCTTTCCCGAAGGACTTCACTGCACCATTCAACTTGTCCATGAGCGCCTGCCAGGTTGTCAGCCGCTGGCAACTCTGCCGAACACACGGAACGCAGTAATGAAGAAGATTCACTTGAGTCTTGCTTGTTGTGTCCGACCGTCCGGACATCTCCTTGCTCGCCGTCCTTGTCCGACACTCGGGTGAAACGTTAAAGTCAGCTCATGCTGCATGGCATGAGACTGTGCCGGGCGGGAGCAAGCCCACTGGCAGCCTGAAAAGCCAGTGAGGGCCCTCGTCTGAGGGCTAAGCACTATCAGGAACTGTCTGCATTCGTGTGACCGCAGACAGGAAGCCCTCTTGGGTGCCAAGTAGGCGTCCCCATTGTGGTACGGAAGCGGAGGACCTGCAAACAACTGCATGTCTCAGGGGGATCGCAAACAGTTCTACGCGTGCATGGTTTTCCCACTGACGGCCAACACTGCACCTTCCGCGAGTAAATCGAGCTGTGGGCATGGTGCATCAATACGTTTTTTGTCACTCGCACTCGGCAGGGCAGCAATGCATACATACGTAAATAGGTACAGAAATACGTACATACATACAGTAAAAAACAAAGCCGTACGTACGCCGGTATGTACATGCGTGTTTGCCTATACATGCACGCATAGAGTGAGGAAAGATAGCATAGCAAGTCAAACAAGGTGAACATATGTACAAAGAAGAGAAGCATCTTCGAATCTTGTTCCTTTGCAGTCAAGCTGTAGTTGAATCTTACAGCAATCGTCAAGAATGCCCGACTACACTCGAGCAGCCCCTCGAATGGAAAAAGCACTGCTAAAAGTTGAAAGTGAATTCATTTGGCATGCCCTCACATCAGCAAACTGAACTAGGTCTCTCTGCATTGCCTCCTTTTTTTCCTGAACTTTCTGAGCCCCAAACACCAACGCTGCTTGTAAAATCCCCCCCAACACACTTCAACCCTTCAATCAAAGCACCAAGGCAGGAAAAAAGTCGATGCTTGGTCGATGGGCCTTGAGCACGGCCACCTCGATAGACTGGTCGCCTGGGAAATGCACGCATGCTGCTCAACACCACTTCTACCACCCCTGGTACCACTACCACCCCTGTACACTGTAAACTGTAAACCCAGGCAGGGATCCCGTGCTGCTGCCTCCACTCGTCACTACACTGGAAACCCATCACCCCTACTGCTACTGCGACTGCTACTACGGCGGCTACTACTACTACTACTACTACTACTGCTGCTGCTGCTACTACTGCTACTACTACTACTGCTACTACTGCTACTACTACTACTACTACCACTACTACGACGAATACTACCTGAGGCTCCGCTGCTCGAATCCGGTTGTTTGTACTTCAATGAAGCGAGTAAATGACTGTGGCAGTTCGCAAGCACGGCGTGAGATTGCTCATCAACCGGACACAAGTCGTCGACGGCGACGCACTGCAAAGTGCAGGCACTGCTAGCTTTTCGCGGCTGTTGCGATTTCGGTACACTCTGCATCTCTACAAAGATGATGACGATGCTGCTGGTGGCTACGAGTACAGAGCTGATTGTCGCCATGAGGTGATGATGATGATGGTGGTGATCGAGGCTGGTGAGGGTTTCTTTCGCCTCCTGCATTGCTCACGTCTTCTTGATGGTACAATGAACTTGGTGCCTAGACTTGACAGAAAGTACGAAGAACCCTCAACTCTATCTCTGGACAAGTCTTACTGTCAGCTTCATCGACTCTGCAGTCATAAGTCTCTTTCGCACTGCTGCCTAGGCAAAAGTGCCATCAAACCGCAGCTTGTGTCTGCGCCGCAATGTTCATGAGGCTCCGGGCGAAGCGATGCCGATGATGCTCAGAAGAGCTCCCATGCGGCATCACCACCGTTGCACTTGCTGCCCCGTGTGCATGGAGCACATGATGTGAACCACGGATGGACTCGCAACCCACATGAGCCAAAAGGCCAGTAGATTGGAGCGCATGGAAAGCCTTCTTGTAGTGCTGATACTTGAACACCTTGTTGGTGAAATCGTTAAGAATACTGCGGAGCCGCTGGGAAGGTGATTGCACAGGTTGAACTTTGACATCTGTGGGCAAGTTCTGGCCTTGCTTTTTCCTTTCCCTCTTGGCAGCATGACGATTTTGTTTAGTGGGCTTGGGCTGCACCTCCCATCTGTTGCTGATTTGCTCCTGCTCCTGCTTGATTCGACCTTGGTAGACCGCGATTTCGATGGTATCCTGGAGAATCTCTGACACCCAGCGAACAGCAACATGATGCCGTTGGAGGCACAGAAGAGCATCCCTGGCCAGGCGCTTCGCCTTTGTCATGATGTCGTCTTCATCCTCGACCGGCAGATCCTTAACTTCCTCCTCCAGTTGTGAGATGTCCAAAGCGGCATCCTCCAGCTTCTGGCAGAAATAGCTGGCTGCCTCTGCCTCATCACCAAAGGGACTGCCAATTTGCATCATCGAGCTTTGCATGCGCTGGTCCCAGTCGTCAATCGCTGGTGGAAATGTGAAGGGAATCATGCCGGTTTGGTAGTCCAGGAAGTGCCTGCTTAAACCGCAAGGGGCATGATCTGCAAGCTGCAGCACCTGCTCCACATCATCGTTCGAGTCCAAGAACACAACACTGTTTGATTCATGGAATGGTGCAGCTGGGTGTGTCAGACCAAGGTTCCGACGCAGAAAAACTACGGGTTGCTTCCTGTCTGCCGCAGCAAGGTACCGGTTGATGTCCGTGGGACTCGGGGCTGCAATGAACCAGCTCAACAGCAGTTCGGCCTGCTGGGGACGATTCACATTGACGTGATACTCTTGCTGGCTTGCCATGTCAATGTGCGGATGGACGCAGGAAATGATGATGTGGGCACCCTCACAGAAGAACTCCTGACCGCCAATGCCGTTGACTGATGTCACAGTGATCGTGCCCCGATATCTGCAAGGATCAGGCTTGGGAAATAAGGCATACTCTCGGGGTTCGGACACTTGCAAAGCCTCGCCAAAATATGCAGGTACGGCAAGCAGAGTCGACACCCACCACACCACACGGATGACCCTCTGCTCGTCTATGTAATACATGCCAGGCGTCACTGCGGTGTTCCCTGACAAAAGCAGCGCAAGCTGTAGCAGGATCGCTTGCGCAGTGCGGAACTCCAGCTCACCAATCCCGTTGATCTGTTGAACTGGATCCGTTGCTTCCATCAGCCCGTAGGCCGTTGCAAAGGCGTCCGCCATGACACCCGGATCCCCACGGCCAGCATTGCCAGCTTGCAACTCCTTCACGGCTTTTAGCAGCTGGTCTGCGGGTCGCCTTTTGAATTCACTGCTCAAGCTTGTTCTCTCCATTGCATGAAAGGAAACCCCATATTCCTTGCTCAAAGCATTCTCAATTGTGGATGACTGCATCTCTTCTGCCATCCGAGATTTTGGCTGGCTCTGCTTCTTCAGAAATCCCTGTAGCATTTTCAGCATCTTGTTTGTCACGGCGGGGGGCTGGCATCCCACCGGCGGCACGGGCCGAGCAAGAGCCATCATCTTGAAAGTATGCACGTGTGTAAACAAACTTATGACGGTTAAAGCAACAACCCGACACATGTTGAATGACGCTGCTGCGTTCCATGTTCTGCAATGCACGGATCAGCGAACAGACCCCAGGTGTGTTTCGATAGCATGAGTGAAGGGCCACCTTGAACATCTCTGTATCCTTGGGGGTAGTTTGAAGGGCCCTGTGAAAGCTCGCAGCTTTCTGAGCGACTTGTGCAAGCCGAGTCTCTCGCCGAATTTTGGATGCCAACCAACGCGATCTCAGACTGCACCCTTCAGTTGCAGCGTCCTGCACACACAAAGTTCCGGCGAGGGCTGGCGAGCAAGGACTGATCACAGGCGTGCGCGGACAAACCAAAAGTGCATTCGCAGGAACACGGGACCCCACCCAGAAATTTTCCCTCTCGTTGCGCCGTGCGGCGTTCAGTGTTAACTAGGTAGTAATGCGAGGTCGTCGATGGGATCTGGCTTAGCAGGCTTCTCGTGCATCTACGGGCTCAGCTGGGCCTGGGCCTCGGCCTTCTGGATTCGGCCAGTACCAAGCGGGGAAATCTTTGAAGTTGCACCTCACAGTGCTGGCAGAAGGCAGAAAATGCGGAGCATGAGGACTTCTCGTGATAAGGCTGTACCGACTACACAAATACTAAGCTTCAGCGCGTCATGCAGAATGGCATGTGAACCTGACACTTCTCCTGTCTCATCTTACACAGCGTCTCCTCGTGCCAAAGGCGCTTATATGCAGGAGTCCTGCCACATTTCAGGGCATCAGCCACGTTCTGCGTCTGCAGGATGGTACAGGTTCCACTTCCACTTCCACCCTGGCAAATCGTGGCAGCTGACAGTTTGAGTTTCTACCCCTCGCTGCAGTGCTCCGCGTTTGGCGTCCCGCAGCCTGCTTGACGATGACATGAACGACGCCAGCCGGGCCTATCCTGATCACAAGCCATGTCATGGCAGAAGATACAGCCATGCGGCAGCACATCCTGCCAAGAGACGCATCCTGAGTGTCGAGAAACCTGAGGCGGGAATGCAGCAGGTAGCTGGAAAGCTTCCGCAGCTGCCGCCAGGTGGCTGCTTCAGCGAGGAGCCCTCCTTCGCAGCCCAAAACAAGTTTTTGCAAGGTCTCACGGGTGGCTGCTTAGCTCTGCCGAACACAAACGTCGGACGCAGGTCCCAATCCTTGTAGCACCAGCCGAATGCGAGGCTCAGCGATGGTGTCGCGTGCGTGTAAATGGCGATGTTGCCTGCTCCGTCCAGCTTCAGGGGGGATTGTGTAGAGCACCGGGTCTGCATTGAAGAATGCAAGGATAGAGGATAGGTTGAAGCTTGACGTGACAATAACCGGGGTCTGTGGCACCAAAAGCATCCCCCTGGCAGCACAAGAGCAATAGCTTCCTCTGCCGGGCTGGCCTGTGGAAGGCGGGAACCGCACCTGCTCAGTTTGAACCCTCGTGATTTGCAGTACGCCCATAAAACAAAAGCTTCGACTTGCTGCGACAAAGTAGCCACTGCTACTAGCAGTCTGGGATTTTGGCTCTGCAATAGAACGGCCCGCCTTCAGCGTTCGCACTGCCTCAACAGCTCTCTGCACGTAGAGCGTGTCATTCTCCTGACAAGAGAAGCTTGGAAACAACCACCTCTCCAGCTCTTCCACTGATTTCCACCGCATGTTTCCCTGCGCGGCTCCGGCGTCTTGATAGAGGCTGCACCGTAGCGCCAGTCCCACCGTGCGCTGCACTCCGACAGGTCACGCACCTCACTGCGGAGTCGGCACCCCAGCACAGCCACACGATCTGTTGCCGAAGATTGTCCGTCCGCTTCGGCATTTCGACAAGGGGTGTGCGAGATTCGAGCAGTGAGGCGAGATCAACGGTTGCAACAAAGCAGCAGTCTCGCCCGGAGAGTCGGCGTTGAAAGCGCGAAAGGCGCTGCTGTCTTGGCGTGCCTACCCATCCCGCGTGCTCAAGACGAAAGGCTTAGATGGGATCTGGGCCACACCTCGGACAAGAGTGGCTCCACTTTCAGCTGCTGGTTCAGTGCCTCCCAAAGCCAAGGTGAAGGGAAGCACGTGGAATGATGCACCCTGTGGCCTCTGCCAGGGGCAATGCGGTCTGCAAAGTCCGCGTAAAAGGCGAGACGACAACATGGTCAATCCGGGCGTGCTGCTGGAGCCAGTCCTGATGCTGTTCAAACTGCAAAGAGCCGGGAAAGCCCTCACAGTCAGAAAATGCAGGCTTCGGCTGAAGCCTACGAAAGACCACAAGTGCTAGTTCGCCTAGACTCTGCCGTGTATCTTGCCTGTTGTCGGCCGCAGGGTGTGAGCGGAGGGTTGTTGCCCATCACCTATTCACACAGAAACCCAAAGAAAATGTGCACAGAAAAACAGATCGCCTTGGCATCAAAGCAGATGTCGTCCGTGGTCTCGTCACAGGGCGGGTAGCCTCACTCAACGGGTTGTGGAGTGGTCGCACGGGGGGAGGCAATTCGAAAGCTGCCCCCTGCTTGCAGAGAAGGCTCTGCTGTATTTGTCGCCATGCCTGCAGACGCCATACGCACAGTTCACACGAACCTTCGCAGTACTTGGCGACGGCTCTGCCAAGGCGCCTGACGATGTAAATGTGCTGCTCCGTTGCCCAGAACCATGCAGGCCCATCCAGGGAGAAGACGGAGACGAAGAGGACAGCGCCAATGCCTCCAGGCACCGATCCTTGCCCCCTCTCAGGAACCGTGGCGGCAGCTGACATCACGCCGCGCCTGTGGAAGCAAGCCCCAGCCGGCTCAGGTGACGTGCAGACGGTACCATGGCCATGGCTGCATAAGACCGACGTGGACACAGGGGAAGGGAAGAGGCAAGCGAGGAACGACCCCTTGCCTTATGGACGAGCGGGTTGAGTGCATGGGCGCAGGTGTTCACTGTCGCACGGCTTTGGTTTTGGTTGTCTGAGGAAAGTCCTTGAGCTCCAAACCGCGCGGAAGGGTTGTCTCCATGCACTGCCCAAAAAACCTTCCAAGTCCGCTCGAGCACGGGCAAGCCTGGAAGGCAGGGGTTGCACCTGCATCGGGCTCTTCAAGGATTCAGTCCAGCATTGCGCCACTGTCCTCCAGTCCAGGGCCTGGAGGCAGTTGATTGTCGCAAATGAGTTTCATCTGCGGCGCCCCACTGTCCTCACAAGATCTCAGAAGCCACAGACACAGACGCGGAAGCGCGGAAGCACGGGGGAGCTCGAATCCGCCAACCGCCAGCGGGCCTCTGAGCTGAAATCCGTGACTTGGATCTGACCTTTCGCTTCGAGGATGGATCTTCCTTTCCTTGGATCCAAGGGCCCAGCTCCCCAAGCACTCCGTCAGTTGCAGCAAAGCGGCTCGATGGGCTGTTCGACCTTCCAGTCCTGCCGAAATCAAAAAAGGACCAAGGACGGATTCTGTGATGGCCAGGGCGCTGAGGGCCGAGCTAGATCGATCCGGAGCTCGAAGATCGGCTGGGACTTACCACCTGTGCAGATCCAGCGCTACACGGAAGGGAGGGCAACGGTAACGGGCAACGACCGAAGCCGCCTTTCATCGCCAGGGCACAATCGCCCTTCGTCTCGACGCGAAAGAAGCCTGAGACGGCTGGCTTGTCCGAGTTTCGGCGCCGTGGGGAGAACTCTGCGGCCATGGGGCTCATTGTGGCACCTTCTGTGCCCTCCAGCGGGATCTGAGTCTCCTTGAAGGTTTTCCTGGGCACGGCACCGCACCGGAAGACCCCCCAACAGCCCCAACACATCCCAAACACCCAATAGACGCTCGGAGCCTTTCAGGGCCGAGAAGCTCCAGGAACTGCTTTGCCCATTCGTCGCGATTCTTCTCATCCCAGGCCATGGCAAGGCTCCGAGCTCGAGGAAATGGGAAATCAGAAGCTCTTGGCTCTTTGAAGTCTTGGGGGCTATCGGGCTATCGGGATATATGGGTTCTTTGACTAGCGCAAGCTGGAAACTCGAGCCTGGGACCGGGTGCGCGGATCATGCTGAGCGCCCAACATGTGCCTAGAGGTCCTTCCCTCCAACAACTCAAAAACGAAACATACGTACTTACGCCCGTGAATGCCTGCACACTAAACTATAGTTAGTATAGCTGTTGGTTGCTCGCATGCTTGTTCGTCCAGTCGCTTCTTGCTATTTTCGCGTGGCTTCTGTGTATTTGTGTGGTTAAAAACCGCTATGAAGCTATTACGCACTCTCTGACTCCGCCACACGAGGCCTCTCGGTTGGGAAGCACATTGACTGAGATATAATTCGGTGGCAGTGATCATTTCAAGACCACAGGCAATGACAATATGCGATGAAGGTAAAGGGAAAGCTAGTAAGACCTTACGCATTTGCATGAATACGTCGGTGCAGCTTTGCTGTGCTTTCACATGTTTGCCCATGTATCGATGTGTGCTTTGAGGGTTGAAGTCAGCGAGCATCTACCTGCCTGTCTTCGCAGTTGCTTTCAGCTGTTCCAGCTGTGTAGACAATGCCGTAGGGGAAAAAGCATGCCACACAATCTTTGACAACCGCAGCAAAAAAAGTATGTTCAAATGCAGAATCTGAGCGGAGGACCAGCTCAAAGTGGTAATAGTCCAAGGACAAAACGGTCGCCTTCTCTGACTGTACCACAACGGTCCTGCAAGCTTTGTCGGAGTGAGCCGAAGGCAGGTCTGGTCTTTCTACGCCAAAAGCCAGAGCCTGGTTGCCGGCACATTCTCACTCAGCTGCTTCTCCCCAATCCTGGGCTTGTGGGAGATGACAGCGACTTCGTCAGCTTATGTCAGCTTCTGGCTTCAAGTCGCGCTGTGTATGCCAGCGCCTGCCTACCCTTCCATCGAAATCCACATCTTGCAAGTTCTCCAACTGCACACGAAGCGACCAGTCACCCTTCATCAGGCCCTTCTTCCCCTGAACAGCTCGAGTCTGCAAGGCTTTTACTTGAGGGAAGTTCTGTCCGCATCCGCACAACCATTAACCGCCAAGCACAGTCGTAGGTTTCTCGTGCCTCGTCTTCTGGGTCGGCATCGGTGACTGAACAAAAGCCTGGAAGCTCGCAGACAGCGCAAGCCTTTCGACAGCCGCGGAACCTGCAAAACTAGAATCCTAAGCATCTCGCCGCTTGTGATCAAGAAGAGAATGCCCTCATCCTCACCTCAACAGCATCTCGAATCGATCTTGCAGCTTGCGGTCGAGCACCATACAGTCTCCTGGAATCCTCCTTTGCACCGGGTTTAGGAAAGGCCATGAAAGGCGCAGAGCCCAGGCCGGGCCCCCGGCCCCGCACGCAAAGCACCTCCTCCTTCTCCAGCACCGTCTCCTTTCCGAGGGTCGAAAGTGCCTCTCCTCTCAGCCTCCGCATCTCTCCGCTACAACGCACGCACCGCACCTCGAGGGCGCCCGCGAGGACCGACAAGAGGGCCAAGTCCACCTCACTGCGGACTCTCGGACAACCGCGTGCCCACATGTGCACACTGATTTGTGCATGCTGGAAACTCATGTGACTTCCCGGTGCCCGGCCTGGTCTCGGATGACTGGCACCTGGTGGAGCATCATGCTATGCCTGAGCTCTTGGGGTTCGAAACAGATCATCGCAACTCACACCATGAGCTCTCCATTCGGGGCAGGTGCTCCTTAGCCTTCAACACGGCAGTGCTCTGCAAGATCTCCTCCATCCAGCAAGGACGACTCTTTCTGCACGGCCACCCACAGCTGCCACTCCCTTGCCTTGAACGTAGTGCGTGGCAGCACCCAAAGCCTTCCAGAGCAGCGAGAGCCGCTGCTTTGCTCCATTGCCGCTGCTACGAAATGCTACGAAACTGACACGATGATCAGCCCGGAACATGAATGTATGCGGCCCCCTGAAAGTCATGGCTCCGATCTCACCCTAGAACGATGGCCCGCTGCGGCCTGCAGTCACGTGTGGCTTCCACGGTTGCCTGCACCAGGAAACTCCACTTCGCAGGAAGCAGGAAGCACCGAAGCACCGAAGCACCGCGGAACGGCCCCCGCCGTACGAGGCTCGTCGTAGAGCAGGGCCAGCTCTCCAAAGGTGTCACCAATCCGCAGCCTCAAAGAAGCTCTCGACAAGTCGCGAAAAACACCAAGCTTCGGCACTGCGAACCCGGCACCACTTCAAAAGTGACCAAATCTACCTGGCATGCACCAGTTTATGTCAGCAACTCCAAGGAATCAGAATCATGCCCTGGCCTTGAGCAGGCCCTCCTGCACAATGAAAAGCGCAGTACCAAGATCTCCTTTCCTGACGTCAGGGATGCCCGATGCAAGTTCAGTGGTTCCAGGAGTTCAATCCAAACACACGCACAGCACAGCATCTGGGGCATGCAGCTTGAAGACATTGGTTCCACTCGGAACCTCCGGAGAAAGAAACAGCATTTCTGCCACTCTCGGACCGGAGTTCGAGCTGATGCACAGTAACCACGGTAGCGTTGTAGGTCTGGCAACTCGGACGGTCCAGGAGTCTGTAGAGTCCGGACGACCTTGCCTCGATCAGGTGGGTCCCATTGACGACATGGTCGCACTGATCCTCTGTGAGGCCGACGACCTGCAGCGGAGAACAACCCATGAAAAAACTCTGAACACAACACCCTAACAGAAATCTCTCATCGAGCGCCTTTTTAAGCTTTCTCGTTCAAGCTGCTTGCCTCGGAGAGGATCTTGTTGTTCTTCAAGCCTTTAGAAATCATGTGCCTGACACAGGTCCAGTGTCCAGCTGTCAAACCGACTGCACACTTGGACAACGCCACCGCGGAACACCGGATGCGAAGAAGGCAACACTAAGAGGCGAAATATGCCACAAGCAGAGTTCCTTCTCGTTCCAATGCCCCACCAGCTTAAAGTCCATACTTTGACAGGGGAAAGGTGAGCTTTGCAGAGATGCAAGCGCACACTTCCTTGCAGGCGGCTTGTCTTTGCGTCGCTGATGCACTGGCCTGTCTTCTTCGGTCTTCTGGTAATCGAACACCTTCTTGTGGCCAGTGATGGCGCACCTTAACACAAAGCAAAGAAGCCGACGTTCGTCGGTCGCAGTCAGAAGCCGAGTTCAACAATGTCTCCACAGCAAACCGCCTCTCACTGGTGCTGTCACTGTAGGCTCCCCACTGATCTGGCGGCGTGGAACCCCTCAGATGCTTAAAAGAACGCATGAGAAGACTCTGAGAAGCGTCCTTTCCGAGCCCGGAGCTTCCTTTTGGCCATCTGGAGCGCGGCCGACACCGAGCCAATCATTTTGCGAGCCTCGGCTCTTTCAGCGCTGCAGCCCGTTATCTGCGGATATTCGCTCCTCGTGCCTTCACGCGGTCGTCTTTCTTCAACTTGGGCTGCATCAGCTTGAGATCCTGCATCGTCTCAGCAAACTTTGCCTACATCCTCTCGCCAGCCGTCGGAGCGAGGGATTTATGGATTTTGTCCTCGTACTTCGTTTTTGAGACACACAGCGTGCGGACCTTGGCTCTTCCCAAGGCCCCTCGGCCTTCCCGAAACAGTCAGCAGCAGCGGTAGCAGCGTCACAAAAGTCTTATACTGGCAAAGACGATATCCTTATCATCCTCGTCATCCCTAGAACGTCATCACCACCCTTTCAACAAGATCGTCACCGCAGCAACCGGCACTGGCACTAAGATGACAGTTCTAGCAAAAATGACAACATGGAGAGCGGCCACGATAGACATCGAAAAGGAAAGCGACATCATGATACGAATGGGAACCAGAAGAACAAAAAGACCCAGACAAACAAAAACTGTAAGACTAGCATGGGAATTGATCAAAACAGCAATGAGCTTGGAAAGCACAATTGGACGACGTTTGCTCTGGCGACACTGTCATGTTCGAGATTGCGATGGTTAAGGGTGACGATCATTGCTACATTGGCTTGGCTGCCATGGTATTCGTCGCTGATGTCGCTGTCGTCATTGCAGGAAACGACTGAGCAGCAGCTAGGACCACTGCTACAGTTACCACCTGCTGTTGCTGCCGCTTCTACTGCTACTGCTACCTCTACCTCTACTCCTACTACTACTACTACTACTACTACTGCTCCTCCTCCTGCTGCTGCTTCTACTACTGTAGTGAGAGCAGCAATCATCGTAGCAGTAAGAAGGAAAGACTGTAGTAGGAGCGATACTTTTTGTCACCCACCCGGCTCGCCTACAGGGTCACCACACCCATTAATGAAGTAGCTGGTAATGGTAGCAGAAGGAGCAGCAGCAGTAGTAGCAGCAGTAGTAGCAGTAGCAATAGTAGCAGCAGCAGTAGCAGCAGTAGTAGCAGTAGCAGTAGCGGTAGCGGTAGCGGTAGCGGTAGCGGTAGCCGTAGCCGTAGCAGTATCATCACACTCGCTGCGGACGGTAAAGTCGCAATGCGCTGATTGGAGCAGGAATCACCTGGCGCACAGTGGCGCACGATCACACTTGGATCGTCTCGGAACTAACTACGTTGTGCCCCGAAGGGCCTATGCGGAAGTGGCAGCACTCCTCAGTCTGTATACGAGTATGTAGCTGGAGGTGGAAAGGGCTTCCAGGCGAATGGATTGTGCAGCTCTGTTGTCATCTATATAATGCCAGAGGGGTGTAACATCAGAGCGAGGCTTGAGTGCAGCACGGTAGTGCCCCGTGACCGTAGTAGGTCCGATATGCTGGACAATCGCCTGAAGCTGATAAGTTCTCCAAATGACTTCAGTGGAGGTGGGGATCCATTGAGGAAAGAGGACTTCCTGGTCTGCTTCGATGCGATGGTCACTTTTGGTAGCAATGCCCCGCTCATTGCAGAATCTGTTCAGCTGTACAGCCACAGCTTCAGTACCTGAGATCAAGGCGTGGCGACGTTTCTGCGAGT